TTTTATTCAACAGCAGAAAATATCAAAGATATATCATTTGACTAAACTTCTGTTGTAAACCTAACTGTTACATGGAGCGGACTTGCCTAAATTATATCACAAAATAATAGAAGATTGAACTGGATGTCTTTGATTTAATAAAAATGAACAAATTTCTAATGAATGTAAGTGCAAATAATTTATTTACATTAAAACAGGCAAAATATTTTAATACAAAACATTTTCGTCATAGATCATCAAGGCTCGTGGCAAAAAATGTCTTATTAAAAAATCGTAGAATCCACCGGAATTTGTCAGTTACAAAAATAAATTGAAATCCTTGACCATATATAAAAATGTTATGATTGAGATGCGGAGGCGGAGGGAGGGGGAAGAGGTGTCAGTGGGGGGGGAGAGGTGTCCGGGGGGAGAGGTGTCGCTATCTGCCTAATGCGACTGCTGGGGCTTGCACTAAAAAAAATCAGTGGCTCTTCGTCTAAAAAGACGCGGCAGTTTTTTCCCTTGAGTGGGTCATCCTGACCCAATTCGGCCGAACAAAAGCATGTATCAGTGCTACTAAAAGCATGTATCAGTGCTACTTAATTCTAATCTCTGCTCGCGCTTTGGTGAGAAAGTGTGACACTATTTGGACATTATTACCCATGATTTCCTCTGAGTGTAGTGTCAGATGTGTCTTCACGTGTATAAAATATCCCAAAATGGCTTTAAATAAAAAAATGAGCTCAACACTTCACAAATATTCTTGGACAGTTAATTGAGTTTATTTTAAATTCCAAGTTTACGTTCCCGAAAGGTTTGAATGATCTTCAATTCTAAAAATGACCAAGCTGCACCATAGATGAACTGCTTAAAAAAAATGCAAGATCGATTTGGAGAATTGGAATTGGGAAAAAGGTAGAATTTAAAATTACTCAGGAATAGTCAATATTGAAATTCGTTGGAGAAAGATGCTAGAGTATTTCGAAGCGCATTGTTTACAGATACGCTAAAGTATTCCGAAGCGCATTGTATACAGTCAGTAACAGTTTTTTCCAAGCGACAGAAAGTCAGGACAAAAACCTCTGCAAGCAATCATCCGAGTGACGAAATCGACTATGCAATCTCAGGGCGTTTGGTGGACCGAATCCTTTTTTTTCTGCGCGGTTATGGCTACCTCTGATCCGGCTCTACGACCTCCTACATTGGCTTCCTATATAAGTACGATGTATAAATAATTCATTTATATGCATCGGTCGGTGATACGACACGACTTGGACTGCGACGATAATTCTTCTTGTACTGGATTTTGTTTCGACCCAATTTATTATTTCGGTGAGTTCGTGTTACTCCTGCACTCACTGTAGCTGTATTTCCTCTGCCCTCTAAACCAAATGAAGGTTTCGAGGTGAGGAAATATCGAATGTGCATGAGAAATTTATAACTAAAAAGTCTCATTTCCATGGATAACTGAATTAAATAATAATTATTTGATATTGGGAGCGTCACTGGCGGGAGGACCTAGAATACATTCATTCACATAACTCATGAATAACGCCAATGATGCCTTTTTAATGTTAAGGGAATGAGCTTACGGACCCGTAAGATTCTGGCTTTGTAAAAGTTCTCAAGAAAGTTGGTTTATTTTTACACGAAGATTAAAGTAGCATATTTAAGTTTATTTGTAGCTGCAGCTGGCGCTACGCTGCCGCTGATTTGGATACAATTTTGCATAGCAAAGGAATCCTTCATTGCGCTCGCATATTGCGCTCGAGAATCCAGTGCTATACACAGAAAAATTAGTGAGATTTCGTCTAAATAACGATGCATTTTTATACTCTTCTATACTCTTGTGTTGGTAAAGGACGTACAGGTGCTACGTCGGCTCCGTGCTCGTGGTTTGGGTAAGAAAGTGTACCAACATTTGGACGATGTGATCCATTAATTTTTATAAGTGGATGCCGAGACCGATCAGCTAACCGAATTGTTATTGTAGCTTCGGAAATGAAGTCTAATTTTCCACGCGATTAGTTCAGCCTGTATGGGAATTCGGTACTGCAACGAGCCCGCCCGCCCGGCGCTTATTGAATCTTCGAAACTTCGGAGCAAATTGGAATTACGAATCCAACCAACAATAGTTTTTCGCTCGAAAAAATATACATTCTACCTAAGAAATTCGTCTTTGCTTAAAGAAGTCAGAGTATTTGCAATTAAATTCGAAAAAGAAATAAAAAAATAACAAATTAGAGTATATATTTTTTTGAAAGTGGTAGGTTTGAAAATTTTCTGACGATGACAGCTAATTTTCGTATATTTCTGTCGAATTCCGGTTTCGTTAAATTGTAAACGCTCCTGCACTCATAAAACAAATGGATCAAACGGTAATGAAAGCGACACAATTTCGGTACCCAGTACGGACACGCTTTTTTGCCGTGCCAAAATGAGTCAAGATGACCCACCCAAGGGCTAATGTGCGTTGTCATTTGGACAAAATCTCGCTCATTTCTCTGCGTGTGTGTTAGATATGGCGTGCGTGCTCTACTAATATTGTGCCGGAGGAAAATATTATGGCTGCTCCATGCAAGCTGGTGACGTAAGTGAGATATTCAGATGGCAATTCCGGTTAATCCATCACTCAATGCGCCTTTTAACTTGATAATGAATGATAGAAACATTCGAAACGTCGTTAAAAAAATAAAAATGTCCTTTGAGTAATCTGATTTTCGATTTACCCGTGCAAACTAAAAATCTTGTTCGATCTATTAAAAAAACGAATAAGAAAATTGTCAATAAAACGAATTCTCTGGTCTTCAATGAAACCTGCTTAAAGGTACAAATTTTTGCCAGCATATACTAATAGCAGCCTAAGTACACACAGAAAACTATAAGTAGGCGTTGCAGCCTGAGTACGCACATACAAATGAAAGTACACGTAGCAGCCCGAGTACACGAAGCAAAATAAAAGTACAATAGCAGCTTAAGTACACGTAGCAATTGATCTAACAGTACACGTACGTAGCAGTCAAAGTATAATTAGAACATAAAAAGTTGGCTTAGCAGCCTAATTAAGTATACATAATGATGAATTTTTCGTCAACGATTGGTTGGCTTAGCTTGAAAAGTCGTCAGTGATTGGCTGCAGGAGTTACGAACTCTTAACTATTTAATATAAGGTGGCTCCTCGTGTAGATTTCATTTTTTTCTTCAAGCCTTCAAGTCCGGGCTCGAGAACTGGCTTCTCGATTCTTCCATATAAAAGAATTGTAGCGTGCCATGTACTGCGTCATGTTCATCATAAAAAAACACATCGATTTATTCTTCGAATAAGACAAGCTTAATTCCTTACTTGAGTAGAAATTTTAATAAAAAACCAAACTGTTTTATTCCTATAGCGCCAGTCGAAAGAGAAGCGTGTCAGTCATTTATTTACCGCTACAAAAAGAAGAAAAGCCCCAGAGGCTTTTTCTATTAGGGAGGAAGTGGAGGATAGTTCACTGGGTTAGTGGTGTGAGGGCAACCGTTTAGGCGGCGAGGTTAGTTTCCCTCGGATGCATCTTTTGAGACGAGGGTAGCTTGCCCTCGCTGGCGCTGCTGCAATTTACAGCATCGGGCGCTGGCAGCGGCGGCAACGCGGTAAACTGCCAGCTTTATAGGGCAAGGGAACAGTGAAACTAACAGGAGAACAAGGGAACAGTGAAGCCAACAGCAAAAGATGGAACAGTGAAACGAACAGGAAGACAAGGGAAAAGTGAAACCAACAGGAGGACAAGTGAACAGTGAAACGAACAGGACAGGAGAACAGTGAAACCAACAGGAGAACAAGGGAACAATGAAACCAACAGGAGAACAAGGGAACAGTGAAACGAACAGAAGGGCAAGCGAAGAGCGAAATGAACAGGAGGACTGGCCTGTTAGTAAAATTCTCAGATATCAAAACCTTATCATGTAACAGCAGTAAACCTATTGGTAAAATGCCCGGATGTTGAAGCTGCTCGATGTAGCCCCTGTTAATAGACTTCGGTGGTTGATGAGTGGCCAATAGATAACCGACCATCGACTTTCTATGAAGCGATTTTAACATTTTGAAGGCGACTGTTGCAATTTTCCTGATTGGTCGGATATCAAACCAAAAATTTCTTACAAATTGATTTCGAAAAAAATTAACAAATGTACCGAGCTTAATTGGAAACCAACTTTTGCTGCTGATCTAATAAAGCTGCTCTCGAGGTTCTGTATTGGAAGAATTTTTTGGAAGAGCTTCAAAGTCACGAGGCATAAACTGCATATTTAATGATAAGCTGAAACGCAACGATGAAATTTCTAAGTTTTAAAATTTCTGAGGATTTAAAAGAAATTCAATTTTAAGAGCAATGCTGAAGTTTGATAAAGTGAGTCAAAATGCTAAGTTATGAAATAATTTTCATTTTTCATCATTAATAGTGTTTGTTTTATGAGCAACTTTCAAAGATGATTATTTAAATAATTATAATGGGCTGCGGTTCAGCGCACGATAAAATAAAATATAAAAAAATTCAAAATAAAATATCCCTAAAATATCTGAGCGTAAGATGGTCTTTACTAAGAGTGCAAATAATTTGTAGGAGTACCGGTAATTTCTATGGAAAGTATAGAGTTGTGAAATTGAATACCGGTAGAGTTGAGGTCATTATGGACTCTAGGAATACAAAATAATCAAGCGTATATACGCGTGTTACACACCGTATGCTCATGACAGTTCTCCGATGGCCGTACATATGTGCGTGTTACACACCGTATATATGCACTTGACTGTCCTTCGTTGGCCGTATATATGTGCGTGTTACATGCCGTATATGCACGTGACTGTCCTTCGTTAGCCGTATAATATATATGTGAGTGTTTGTCATGCCGTATGCACATGACAGTTCTTCGCTGGCCATTTACATGTGCGTGTTACATGCCGTATATGCACAAGATTGTCCCTTTTTGGCCGTATATCCACGCGTGTTACATGCCGTATGAGTTTATCTCACCTTAGAACTCACCAGAAAACTGAAGACAATTAATGATGCTTGAGCTCCGCATGACGGTTCCTTTTCCGTCCAACGCTAAGCACAAATTCTGAAATTTTTTTTACTTTGAGTTTCTTTTTCAGGGTACTGCGAGCTGGTAATTGAAAGTGAATGTTACTGGCATTCAGCACTTCACTGGAGATGACCTCGGCTGGAGCCTATAGATTTTAATAATTAATAAATTAATAAGAGAAATTCTCATTAAAGTAAAAAACTTGGCTATAGGTGATCTGTAACAAATTTTTAATTCTAATTAATTAATTTTGGAACGACAATTACTCGAAAATTCAGATGGAAACTATTTAATTTTGCAGAAATCTCTTCAATCACCAGAGAATAATACAATTTTCTGCGTCTTTAATGAAGAACTATAATAATAAATTATTAAAATTTTTTCAATATTATGAAACACGTTTGAAAAATTCAAAATGTCCAAAAATTTATTTGTGGGTATTGCGTTGAGAAGTTCATAACTCATGGGTAACATTTTTCTCTGAATGAACACATTGCAAAGGTTCGAATAAAATGCACCGCATCAATACCTATTATGGCTGCAAAATATCAGTCACTGAGAAATAATATTGTAATGCGATGGTCATTAAGTGTGGTCGACGCAGGCACAACGTGGAAAGTAGCGCAGGTATCACGGTATCTTTTAATGGCGTGGAGTTTGATGAATTATTTTAATTCAAATTCCCATAAGTAAAATGCGTCATGATATATTACGGAATAATAAGCGATTAAATAATTATTAGTGGTTTAATTATAGCTAAAAACGGTAGCAAAAAAATAGATACCATGTTTAAAAAATTACCATTCATAATTCTAATTTGGGGATGAGAATCAAACGTGTTTTTCCTGTCGCTTGAATCTTGGACGGGACGTTGGTCTGTCGCCCTGGCAACGGACGCCAGCGCAGCGCACCTACCCCTACGGCGGGCAGCGATCAACTGACGCGACAATTTTTTATAACTTGTCTACACAAATAACTTTAATCCTTAATCCAGGATACCACAGGCGCAATGGACTGGAATTAAATACAATTGTAATTAGTCTTGCTTGCGGACTTCTTAAATCAGAACTGAACTGGCAAAGTTGAGAGTGAATGAATGTGTAAACAAAATCTATGTATTAAATTATAATGGAGTCTTAATATAAACTACTTTATTGAAGACATTTTAATTTTTCCATTTTTACTTCGAAATACCTAGTAAAGTTTACTAATTACTGTTAAGGGTAATTTTAATATACTTGGGAATCTTAGCCTAGTAGAGCCAGAGCGGAGGTCGCCGAAATGCTTTGCAAACTTTACAGAGTTACATTTGATGGTAGAGTGAATCTTGCGTCATGAAACCTTTAATTAATTGATGACTTGTGATTTGATCCTAATTTTAAGGATGGGAACATCTGTGATGCCGTGGGATATCTTTGATCCATTGCTAGAGATCCCGACAATTTTGAGAAAATCCATATCAATCCTAATATTTTTTGCTTGCTGTTTTTTCTCCAATAAACATTTTTTGATCTAATATTATTAACTGGAATATGCGGTAATCCATTTCGAAAACCAAAATGGGGCCCAAAAAGCAGACATATAATTTACCTAGAACTCATGCATAGTTCCTCGCTCACTTCGAGGCCAATAACTCGCAGAATGGCATCGCTTGAATTGTAAAATGTCTACTGAAATTTAGGACAAGATTTGTCTTTGTGATGTGTTGAATAATGATCTATAAACAGGGTAAAAAAATCTAATTTATGTTAAGTTCATACATGTAATCTTAACAAATGGCCTGTAGATATTTAGCGTATAATTATTAAATGAAGACGAAGTTTATAGTACGCATTTCGTTGGAAATTGGATTTAACGGTCTTGTCCAAATCCAAAGTCATTTATTAATGGATTATTTTGACACATTGTAGTCAATAAACATGAAGAATAAAAGTTTTTATTAGGAATCAATAATGAAACAATTTCGAACTCGAGACCAAAAGGCATTTTGGTCGTGTTTAATAACAAATCCATTTTCCAGCCGTTGCAATTATTCGGGAAGGATGTTTGTAAAACGAATCAATACTGGAATAATATCTACTAAAGGACGGTATCAACGACGTGTATAACGCCGTTCGAGACGACGATGTCCGTCTCAATCACCTTCGTCACCTTCCCTCCTCCTGCCGAGACCAGGATGTGACCATCGCTACCCAGGCCCGTCCGCAGCTGCAAGCGAAAACAGTGGAACTTTTTTTCGAGCAACTTATGAACTTATTTTGGAACTTATAAACTTAGAGGAGCTTATAAACTTACTTTGGAACTTATAAACTTAGAGGAACTTATAACTTACTTTGGAACTTATAAACTTAGAGGAACTTATAAACTTACTTTGGAACTTATAAACTTAGAGGAACTTATAAACTTAGAGGAACTTATAAACTTACTTTGGAACTTATAANCTCACCTGACTTGAGTGTGGCGATGAGGTCTGACGCCTGCAGACCACCCACCTGACTTGAGTGTAGCGATGAGGTCTGACGCCTGCAGACCACTCACCTGACTTGAGTGTGGCGATGAGGTCTGACGCCTGCAGACCACCCACCTGACTTGAGTGTAGCGATGAGGTCTGACGCCTGCAGACCACTCACCTGACTTGAGTGTAGCGATGAGGTCTGACGCCTGCAGACCAGACAGGAAGGTTGAGAACCTAAGCTGTGACTGCAGCGTCTCGATGGCGGTGTGGTTGGCAGGCGGCAGGATACCGTCGATGATGTGAAGGATGCCGTTAGAACCGCGCTCGTCTAGAACTGTCAACTGCACCCCGTTAGCGGTGTATACCTGTGGAAAAACATGGAAGTTTGATGAATAAGTCTTTTTCTGACACCCTATTGCAGTGTATAGCTAGGGAGGATGTTGAAAACAGATGGCGGTCCGATAAGTCAGTTTTCTTGTGTCTGTTAGAATTTTGGCAAAGAGAGAATTTGAAAGCAAGAGAATGACAAATAAATTTACGATATCTTCATGAAAACGTTTCGGAGAACAGCGTTGTTGTGGATATCATGTTAAGGATATGAAAGGCTCAAAAAGACGTGGTAAATCCATTCTCATTTAGGTTCTATGGTAGATGTTGAATATTAAGCTTCACATCTTTAGGATTGCACTCGTATACCTGCGACCAGATTTGAAAAATAATAAAAAAAATGTCATCAAGTTCTAATAAAGATCACTTGAATTGCAGATTTACATTGAATTTAGGAACAAAAAAGATGCCGCAAAACTTCACTGAATTTTTATGCAAGTAAACATTTCGGATACCAGCTTCATCGTTAGTTCGACGTTAGATACGAATTGTTAACAGATTGTATTTATTTTCTCAGAGTTTCAAGCTCACGATGGAGCTGGACTCCAACTCGTATTTCATGTAAAGATAAATTGACATTTTGTGCCATCTTCTCCCTTTTGAAATTCATTGTAAATTTTCATCAATACAGACTCGTTTTTTCAAGTTTGACTTCTTTTTTTGGAGATTCAACCTGCAACCTGAAAAACTCTCATCAATGCAGACTCGGTTCTTTTTCGCTCATTTTAACTCACATCTCCAGCCCTGGGTCGCTTATAAACATTGATGCGTATCTTCTCGCCGGCAAAGTTATTTTTGAGGGAGTCGGGCACGAAGCTCCCTGTGGGGAGCACCTCTGCCAGGATGTGGCGGCTGACCACCTTGCGGAGATGGTCCAGGTCCTCTGTGAGCCTCCTGACCTCCTGACGCGGCAGTGAACTCAGGGCTTTGTTCGAGGGGGCGAAGCTCGTCAACGGATCTGCACAGTGAATGAACTTGGTTATTTGGGGGGAATACAAAGTCATATTTATAAATAGTTGACTGGTTAATCATTTACTATTTATTCATTAATATTTACGGATAATAACTGTAATTCTGACCGCCGTTTTGGAAGATCAGCGCCATTCCGCTCTTTTTCACGAGGTCAGTGAAGATCGTCAGACCGTTCATCTGAAGCTCTTCCAAGAGGTTCGACTTCGACTGGGAAAAGAGATAAGGAAGAAACCAAATTAAATGACGCTAAATGATTATTTTCATCTATATAAAAACAATAAGTGAAATCTTTTATCGATGTAATAAATTATTTTCTTCATAGGCACCGGGAGGCCCTGGCTGCCGAGGGCGTTGATGGAGGGCAGGAGGAGGTCACTGATGATGTGCAGGGCGCCGTTCTGGGCGATGAGATCCTCCTGCAGCAGCCGTGCTGTGTTCACCAGCACAACAGACCCCACAGTCCTGAACACGGGGCGTACGATCAGAAATCTAGATAATTAAGATTATCCCGAAGACCAATGGAACCTATGTGACCGAGTGAAACTTGAGGACCTAGACCGCATGGATCGATCAGTGAATCAATTGCTTTACCTGAAGACGATGAGTTCCCCGAGGCTGTTGAGCTCAACAGTTTTCGTTCTGAGGTCGAAGGAGCTGAGATCTTTGTTGACGATGTGGCTGAGGATGACGGCCTTCAGCAGACGAGGTTCTCGTCGCAGCTGACGAAGGATCGAAGGATCCACTGAATTGAAGGCGTCATCGGTCGGGGCGAACAACGTTAACGGACCTGGAAAATTAATACAAAAGCTGAATAGTTGCATGCTGCTTAACAAGAACAAATTATTCACAATAAAGAATAGCCAGTTGGCAGCCCCAGAGTTAAGTGAATTTGCTAAATGAGACGTCGTGCATAAAATATGGAAGGATTAAAATTGTGTTTGAACATAAAACGTATTGATGCCTCAGGCAGTCCGAGAATAACACAATTGTGGAGCTCGCTTGGATGAAGACGGTGTCCGTTGGGATGAAGAGGACGTGTTAAGAGCACCTAGGTATTTCATTTATTTAACCTGTTTCTGAAATTATTGTTTTTCAAATATTTGTGGCTTAGTTTATGAAAGTAGAATTTTAAGAAGCCTCCTTCCATTGCAGTATGAAGAATTCAACCAAAAGGTTCTGAAGTGAATTTTTTGTCAAAATTACGGAATTTATATGATTTTTGTATCTTTTCAGAAGGTTTTAGTAAGGACTTACCTCCCTCTCTGAGCGTGCTCATCATGTCGGCACTCTCGACCAGACCCAAGAATGTGTTCAAGTTGCCAGCTCTGAGCATCAGGTCCTCAATGCTCGGTTCTGGCTGCAAACAAAATCAATTAGGAGAGTTCTAGCATATAACGAATGCGATGAAAGATACAGTGCATTCGAGTTTAAGTTGTACAGAATAATCATTTTGAGAAGAGGTTCACCAGCAGCAATAGTGAAATTGGCCTGCAGGAGCTGTAGGAGTTACTTACAAAGAGGGTAGTATTAACCTGCAGAGACGATGGGATTTACTTGTAGCAAAAGTGTGATTTACATACAGAAAAAGAGGGATTTACCTGCAGAGAGAATGAGATTCACCTGCAGAGAGGATGCGATGTACCGACAGAGAGGATGTTAATTACCTGCAGAGATGTTGTCATTCACCTGCAGAGAGGATGTTATTTACCTGCAGAGAGTTTGTTATTTACCTGCAGAGAGGATGTTATTTACCTGCAGAGAGGATGTTATTTACCTGCAGAGAGGGGGGTAGCAGCACTCTGTTTATGGCGTGCACGATGCCGTTGCTGGCCGCCATGTTGGCCCCAATGACGGTCGCGTTTGCATTTTTCTGAAGAATCAGCAGCTGCGACCGTCCCAGACGGTTACGCCCGACGGCCACTTGGATGTCTTCGCCCTGCATGCTGGTCGTTTGGCCTGAAAATGTTTATAATGATTTACAGAAATCATAATTTTGCAAGAATTTTACACTCTAAGAACATACCTTAATATAGAGATGGGTTTGATATGAAATGTAAAACCATGTAAATAAATTTTATTTCCAAGTAGGACAATGAAAATATTTACGTATGTGAATAATACTAGTGTTAGTAGTGAAAAATCTGTTACTTGTTTAATTTATTCATTGATATTACCATCGCAATGAGCTCTAGACCATGATAAGGAGAAGTTTATTAACGCAGGAGCATTAAGACTGTATTTTCAGCGTATTAATGATCGATTTTTAAATTTCAAGCAGATCGCTTCAGAACTAGCGGAGTTACGCGCGCTGAAAACTCGAACGCTATAAAAATTTGCCTCAAAATACGTCCCAAATTTGAAGGTGTTGCTCAAAGCATCGACAGGGTAACGGATTTTCCGAACATTTATGCTGAAAAATACTGAGCTTGCAACATTTAGAGCCCATTTTCAGAATTCCGGTGTTGGTAATGGCGAAAAATTTTCAGCTAAAATGCTAACTGCATAATGCCGTAGGTGGCTAATTGTGCAAATTACGCACAAATGAACCTATTTATGAAGATATGATTTCTTCGACATATCACAATAAAACATGAATTTTCTCGCATCCTAGGACCTCAAGCCCAATGTAGGCCCGAAAAAGTTACAATTTTATCTCATATAAAAAATAATAATGCATTTACTTTAGGAATAAATTTTTTACTTCTAACGGCCAAATTACAAACCATGACATTTAGAAAATCTTGTCTTCAGCAAAACACATCAAACACACAAATTACAAAAATCTAAAACAATTTCCGCACATTGTCCGGTTTAAAACAAAAATCTAGAAAAAATCCCGGAATAATTCTATAATTGTGCGCATTTTTCGACCTCGAGCGGCGAGATCGACGACGGCCCAGCGGCCGGGCGCGACGTGATACTCCAGGACGCTCCTGAGGAACTCGTCGTCCGTCTTGAGGCGCCACACCAGCGCAGGAGGCAGGCGGCCGAACGCTNGTACACATCAACCTATCAATGCAAAATATCTTAAAACAACACAGCAATGCGATCACTCTACTGCCACGTCAAGTACAGATTCTTGTTAAGAATAATAATATTGATAAATGTATTCACATTCCCGTACGAATTTGTTAACGTAAACAGGAAATCGTTAAGGCAAGTCACGATCGATGCAGGGAGCTGTGTAATGACACCTTCTTTCTTATACGCCGACCTCGCTCCCTGCTTCTAATTTCTGCTGCACTAAATTCTTCACATTCCAGTGCCGTACACTCATGAGAAATAAGTGAGACTTTGTCCTAATAGCGTAGCACTTCCTGCGCTAATTTTGACCCATTTTTACGCCCTATATGAGAGAGTATCAGTGCTACGTTCGCTTTCTGCATCTGGTGTAAGCGGATGAGTCACTGTTTAGACAATGTGATCCATTCATTCCTCTGGGTGTGCGGACACTTGTTTGGGGGCTACATGCAGCATTTACATTATATATGATACGGGTGGAAAAACCTTACATGAGTCATATAATTCAATATCCATACAAAGGGAAAATTATCTTCCTTAAGATATTCGCTGATGCAGCCTTTTTAGCGCATTTTCTCATTTATGGAAAAAGGCGCTATTGTGCTCGTCATGTCCGTCCGTCTGTCCGTCCGTCTGTCTGTCTGTCCGTCCGTGACCACGTTTTCATCGACGAGAAAATGCGCTCTATGTCTCTCACTGCAGTGAGTACCGAGTTGTATTTTCTTATTCCTACTATGGACGAGGAGAGAAACGACAAATAAGTTAATATTTTATAATGAAGATATCGTTTGAGTGTTTTCAGTTATATCTCTCAACGATTCAATACATAGTTTAGAATAAATTCAGGCTCGAGACTGTCATAAACAGTAGATATATTTTTTATTTTTTTGCTTCTGTGGTACGGAACGCATGGTTGGACATGCTGTCTCCGTGAAGTTGCCCTTCCGGCTCCGCGCGTCCGATCTCCTCGCTGCACCGACATGATCTCGGACACAGAGATGGGCAGAGACACAGCCCTTAACATGGACACAGAGATGGGCAGAGACACAGCCCTTAACACGGACACAGAGATGGGCAGAGACACAGCCCTTAACACGGACACAGAGATGGGCAGAGACACAGCCCTTAACTTAACCCGGACACAGAGATGGCAGAGACACAGTCCTTAACACGGATACAGAGATAGGAAGAGACGCAGCCCTTAACACGGACACAGATAGGCAGAGACGCGGAAACAGTACCGAAATGTTCCAAAAGCTGTGTTTGTGCGCAGTAACAGACATTAATAAAGCTTTAACAATCGATTGGAATCCCCGATGCTATAGATGAGTGCAAAAAATTACAATTAAGTGTGGCTGAAAGATTATAAGAGAAATCCCCTTGTGTTTTTGGCTTGATTCACGCGCTAAAGGCATGAAATCTAATTGCACAGTATACAGTCTTGTATACTCTTGGCATATATGTACATAGGATAATATACAGAATTGGTATACTCTTGCTATACGCAATAAACAATAAATATGTAAATTGCATATCAATATAAACAGAACACAATAATGTAGTCTCACCTGATCAGCTTGTGCTGAGCATCGCGCGGCCAGTATCCACGAGATGGCAACCACGAGCAATGCTCTCCAGCTACTTGATCCATTAATTTTTATAAGTGGATGCCGAGACCGATCAGCTAACCGAATTGTTATTGTAGCTTCGGAAATGAAGTCTAATTTTCCACGCGATTAGTTCAGCCTGTATGGGAATTCGGTACTGCAACGAGCCCGCCCGCCCGGCGCTTATTGAATCTTCGAAACTTCGGAGCAAATTGGAATTACGAATCCAACCAACAATAGTTTTTCACTCGAAAAAATATACATTCTACCTAAGAAATTCGTCTTTGCTTAAAGATGTCATAGTGTTTGCACTCAAATTCGAGAATAAATAAAGAAAATAAAAAATTTGAGCCCTTTTTTTGGAAAGTGCATGGTAGGTTTGAAAATTTTCTGAAGATGACAGCTAATTTTCGTTTTATTTTTTGTGGAATTCCGGTTTCGTTAAACTGTAAACGCTCCTGCACTCATAAAACAAATGGATCAAACGGTGATGAAAGCGACACATTTTCGGTGCCCAGCACGGACACGCTTTTTTAGCCTGCCAAAATGGTTCAAGATGACCCACCCAAGGGCAAAAGTGCGTTGCTATTTGGACAAAATCTCGCTCATTTCTCTGAGTGTGCGTTAGATATGGCGTGCGTGCTCTACTAATATTCTGCCAGAGGAAAATATTATGGCTGCTCCATGCAAGCTGGTGACGTAAGTGAGATATTCAGATGGCAATTCCGGTGCATCTAATAAAACTTGTCCATTTTTATAGAGTGGCCGAGCATTCAGGGGGCGTTTCTGCACGGTAAATATTTGAAAGAAAAATTCATTGAAATGATCAACTGGTGCATTTTGGTTGATTCTATATTCTTTTATGAGAAAAAATTTGTTATGTGGGGAGAAGTAATCAAGTTTTGTGTACTGTTATTCTAATTTCAGCATTGTGACGATTCAATAGAGCTTGAAACTACTACTGTAAGTGCTTTAAAATGACTGTATCTGGTGAAAATGAAGTTGATATCGGTGCTAGGCCAGTCAAAATACTTTCAAACACTGTTGATACAGGCTTGCGTTTGGCAGCGCGAATGAAACCATGCAATCTTTGCCTGTTAATTTCCAAACTCATCCATGCTATAATCCAAAAGTGACCATAATGTACTTTAATCTCTCAACATCCAAATAGAAACATTATACACAAGATAATTTATGAAGAAAACGGTTGAGAATAACATTTAAACTGCTTATAAACGAAGTAAAACATATCAATGTGCATTATAGTCATCCCTCGGACTTTCAGCCAATAAATATTACAGGAGCTTCATACACTTCATAATTTAAAATAGGGAATTGCTTTGAAAACTACGAAGGCCGCGCACGCCTAAGTACACTTAGACGAAAAATGTACACATAGCAGCTCGACGGCCACTTGGATGTCTTCGCCCTGCATGCTGGTCGTTTGGCCTGAAAATGTTTATAATGATTTACAGAAATCATAATTTTGCAAGAATTTTCTACACTAAGAACACACCATAACGTAGAGATGGGTTTGAAATCATAAATAAATTTTGTTTCCAAGCGTGACAATAAGAATATTTACATCAATACTGCTAGTGTCTGTAGTGAAAAATTTCTTAATTTTTTAATCTATTCTTTGGTATTAACATCGCAATGGGCTTAAGATCGTGATAAGGAGAAGCTTATTACCGCAGGAGCGTGAAAGTTGCATACGCAGCCTTTCTTATTAATGATCGATTTTTAAAAATTTCCAGCAGATCGGTCACTCCTTAAGGTCAAATTAAACATCATGACATTTGGAAAATCTTGTTTTCAGCATAACACATCAAACCCAAAAATCTAGAAATTATACAAAACAATTTCCGGCACAATGTCTGATTTCAAACAAAAATCTACGAAAAATTCTTTAATAATTTTATAATTGTGCACATTTTTCGACCTCGAGCGGCGAGATCGACGACGGCCCAGCGGCCGGGCGCGACGTGATACTCCAGGACGCTCCTGAGGAACTCGTCGTCCGTCTTGAGGCGCCACACCAGCGCAGGAGGCAGGCGGCCGAACGCTGCGTTCGTGGGGGCGAACAGAGTGTGTGGGCCTGTGCGATATTATATATATTATATTATGTTATATAGTATATAATATAATATAATATAATATAATATATAACATAATATATAACATAATATAATATAATATTATATTATATATTATATTATATTATATTACATCATATTATATTATATCATATTATATTTTATCATATAATATAAAAAAATTGTATCAGATTCTGGTTGCAACCTTTTAGTGAATCATAATAAAACAGAGGGAACTTATTTCTTTGAATAGTAAACAACAAAGTATGTTTATGTATGTACAAGTATTCAAAGACATAAAGCTTTATGAACCTTGCAATGAATTGGGTTCTGATAGACAACTTCAATTAATAATTGTGAAAACGACGGAATTTATGAAGGTCTCGCAGTGTATGAATCCTGTGTGTTATCCTGAATGTATGGATTGTATGAGATTGTGTGTGGGAATTTTTTAGTAAGTCCTTATGGAAACCATTCATTGTATATAAGATTCTGCACGTGTAAGTCTAGTAATGCATTATGAAAACCATACATACATTGTATTAGATTCTGTGAGAGAACTGTTGGTATGTAGTCATGAAAATGAGGAAACGGATTAATCTTTTGTAATAAGATATACAGTAAACGCAGTAAACATGATTGTTCATATCAGCATTTCATGAGAATTTTTGATGGGTGCCTACATATTATAGATTGATACTTGAAACATGAGGAAAAATGATGAATACTATCATAACTGAGACGAAAGTTTAATACCTATTTAGACTGACAAATTCAGTGAGGTTTTTCGTATATTTCAAACTGGTTCTAGTGGAGGCGAAATCATCATCGAGAAATTTTGATAATAATACAGTATTAAAAATTAAAACCCTCACCATCTTCTCTGAGTTTCTCGTCCAGGTCGGCGACATCAATCCAGCTGACCAGGTCGGTGAGTCCAGCAGCAGCGGCAGTATCCAGGACATTCTTCTGCGCTTCCTACAATAGAAATAAAATTACTGAACTAAAACTTCTAATGCAAAATTACATCAACAAACATCAACAAATACATCATCAAATTACATTAATATATGAAGTATTGTTACAATGTTTGATTGATACAAGATATGGATGTGCGGCTCAGATGTGCGAAAATCACACAATTTAATCTTATACACTGAAGAAAATGAAAAGAATTTGTTCAAATATTAATGTGGGTCATCGTGAACAAATGTGGTTCGGGAAAATGCCGTAGAATTTCTACACACGGAAAGGAAGTAAGTTTTTGCTTTTGGACGATATTGCCCAGTAATTTTTTTGAGTGTAAGCAGACCAGGCACATTCAATAATGGCCTGGAAAACCCAGACACCACAGGGCAGACAAAAAATGGCAAACCTCCGCCAATTATTATAATTATAATTGATGATAATGTTCTGTACTCGCTACAGTGTACAAATAAAAAATTTAAAGAGGGTTGACATTGTGTTTTAACTAATTTATCACTAAATTCATATTCAATTAAAATATAAACAAATGGCATGGATGACCAGTTATTGAATGATTATAAACCGTTGGTGTTTTTTTAGAGGTGTAAGAACAAGTAGAGGCATAAGAAATGTATAAGAACATTAACATTAACTAGAGGTATAAGAAATGTATAAGAACATTAACATTTATCAGTCTATCAAGTTAAATTGTGGTCCATGCATAAGAAGTACACATCAACCTATCAATGCAAAATATCTTAAAACAACACAGCAATGCGATCACTCTACTGCCACGTCAAGTACAGATTCTTGTTAAGAATAATAATATTGATAAATGTATTCACATTCCCGTACGAATTTGTTAACGTAAACAGGAAATCGTTAAGGCAAGTCACGATCGATGCAGGGAGCTGTGTAATGACACCTTCTTTCTTATACGCCGACCTCGCTCCCTGCTTCTAATTTCTACTGCACTAAATTCTTCACATTCCAGTGCCGTACACTCATGAGAAATAAGTGAGACTTTGTCCTAATAACGTAGCACTTCTTGCTCTAATTTTGACCCATTTCGGCACGGCAAGAGAACGTATCAGTGCTACGTCCTCTTTCCGCATCTGGTGTAAGCGGATGTGTCACTATTTAGACGATGTTACTCATTCATTCTTCTGGGTGTACGAACACTTGTATTGGGGCTACATGCAGCATTTACATTAAATATGATACGGGTGGAAAAACCTTACATGAGTCATATAATTCAATATCCATACAAAGGGAAAATTATCTTCCTTAAGATATTCGCTGATGCAGCCTTTTTAGTGCATTTTCTCATTCATGGAAAAAGGCGCTATTGTGCTCGTCATGTCCGTCCGTCTGTCTGTCCGTCTGTCCGTGACCACGTTTTCGTCGACGAGAAAATGCGCTCTCTGTCACTCACTGCAGTGAGTACAGAGTTATATTTTTTTATTCCTGCATTTATGTGCGAGGAGAAACAGTGCAAATAAGTCAATATTTCATAATGAAGATATCGTTTGAGTGTTTTTAGTTATATCTTTCATCGATAGAATACATAGTTTAGAATTAATATTTTTGAGGCGCAAAATTAAAACAAAAAAATATTTTTTTTTGTATTTTTTGCTTCCGTGGCACGGAACGCATGATTGCACATGCAGTCTCCGTGAAGTCGCCCTTCCGGCTCCGCGCGTTCGAATCTCCTCGCTGCACCGACCTGATCTTCAGTAAACTAAAGGACTGGTGTTTACTAATTACTGCCCTAATTATATTAGGGCAGAAACGCAGCCCTAAACCCGGACACATAGACGGGCAGAGACACAGCCCTTAACACGGATATAGAGATGGACAGAGACCCGGACACAGTGCCAAAAAGTACAAAAAAGCTGTGCTTGTGCACAGTAAACAGACATGAATAAAGCTTCAATATCGATTGCAAATCCCGATGCCATGAGCGCAAAAAACTGCAAGTAAGTGTAAACGAAAGATTGCAAGAGAAATCCCTTTATGTTCTAGCTTGGTACACACGCTAAAGACATGAACTCTAATTGCACAGTATATACAGTCTTGTATACTCCTGGCATATGTACATAATATATAGTATTGGTATACTCCTGTCGTACACAAAAAACAATAAATATGTAAATTACACATCAATATAACAGAACACAATAATAGTCTCACCTGATCAGCTTGTGCTGAGCATCGCGCGGCCAGTATCCACGAGATGGCAACCACGAGCAATGCTCTCCAGCTACACATTTTACGTCAGGAAATCCGAACAATTTTAGTTCGATGTCTGGGGCCAAGATTGGAATAAACAAAATACTTAATTTAATAAATTAAATATATTGGATATAATGGACTTTTCAAGGAGGGGTCTCGTTTATTTTCTCAGAAGAAGCTTGTGATTTATCTTCTGTTTACAATTTAGGATTGTGCTAGAGGTTCTTCCAATTAACCGCAAACGACATAACACCTGCGGTTAGTTTCCGTTTTTGATTTTTGAAACCAATTCAATTTTTTCATTGTGATAAAATATTGTTTTATATACAGAGAGATAATATAAGATAGTATTTCATCTTTTCTGCCCTAAATATATAGATTGAAAATTCAAGTTAATATATAAATATTCTTTAGTATTGAATTCAAACAAATTAATCGTATATAGGTCTTCACTCCATAACATTATTCAGTGTTTCAGAACAATTCGCCTACAGAGCATTTTGCGCAAATGGTTACGGTGAACACGGATTATGTTTATTATATATGAATAATAAATTTATTCATTATCCCGTCTTCTCACTGCGGTAGTCATAGGAGTGTTGAGCGATTGGCCTCCAATTAACTTGAATGTTTATTAAAACTGGCATCCACGCAAGATCTAAGTTGTTATAACTGGTATCCACGCAATATCTGAATGTAACGCCATTGGTATGATGGTACGATAATACATGGATGGTTTGAATGGCAATCAGCAAACAGACTGTTAAATCTCGAATGGTATTATACATTGGAAAGTTTGGGTCTACTGGATATACTGTGGATCTAAAAAGATATACTGAAAAATGCGTACAGCTGCACGAGGCAAGCGGCACATAAACGTCGATGCATATTAGACGCCCACGGATCTAATATACCGCAATAGCCGCATAGGAATGCAGGTGGACGTTGCTTGGTTGATAACATCATACGAATGATTTATAGTGATTACACATGCCCTTGCAATTGGCCGATGATCTTTACAATAGCGTAGACTATCGCTATTTGAGGAAGTCAAACCACAAAGCCACGCCACGACCTCGAGAGAATGCGTATCTCGGAGGGCCATCATCCTCCTATATTATCCATGCTGCATGTAAAACCACTTCTGCATCTATAACAGTTCCGTACATACTGATTATTATCACATCATTTACGCCACGATTTTTCCTAATTTATTTTTAAAGCCACGGTCATGGATTCAAATCGTGACATTTGGACGTTTTTTTTTTTGAGACAATTTCAAGGACAGTTTTTCGAGAAAACGACCGAGCGAACATTGCCGCTCATCAGGACTACGACTGTAGGTAGACTACAACCAACCTCACACGCGGTCTACGAGCGACTGACGCTTGGAACTGCCGTTACCTGCCGCTACGCATTCGGAATCTGAAGCTGCAATTTTTTAGCAGTTTTTGTAGCGTCGGTGCTGAAGAAAATGCCAAGTTTAGCTTGTTTTAAGAGAACATTGTTTAATTCTAGTCGAAAACGTGCATTATGATCAATGTATTTTAGGTTTATCACGTCATTAACATCGTAATATACATTAATTATCATAAAGGTGCAGAAAATCTTGCACTGTGCAGAAAAGGTAAAAACGTTTCTAGACGCTGTTGCTCTTTTGAAAATTTTCCACGCTGTTGTACTCTATACAAAAGTTTGATCTGCATGGAAGTTGATCGTTTTAGAAGTCGACGCTTATTTTAGGACAGATAAAGGTCAACCTCCGGTGTTCATTATTATTATATATTATATTATTATACAGTTATTATATTATTATTATTTAGTATTAATATATTATATTATTATACTATTGTAAATATATGTATATTATTATGCAGTGAAAAATACGTCGCAAAAAGTATAGTTACGAGGTGATCTTGACAGGCTGGTTGACTGGGCTGATAAGTGGCAGCTGCGTATTTACGCTGACAAATGTAAAGTAATTCACCATGGCAAGAATAATGAACAGCAGGATTGCAGTATGAGAAGACACGGTTGCAACGACAGAGTGATGATGTCGAAGTCAACAACGGAAAAGGATTTAGGAGTTAATATCGACAATGAGTTGAAATTTTCTAAGTATACTGAAGGTCAAGTTAATAAAGCCAATAAACGACAAGCTTGGACTGATCAGACGCTCTTTCGAGTTCCTAGATGCAGAAGCAATGAAGCAGCTGTATGTTGCTGTCGTGCGCCCGAACCTAGAGTTTGGAAACGTCGTGTGGTCACCGAAAGTTGATAATTAAGGACAAAAAATTTAATAGAGAGTGTTCAAAGACGTACAACAAGGCTAATTCCTGGCTTGTAAGGCAAGTCCTATCTTGGACTGATCAGACGCTCTTTCGAGTTCCTAGATGCAGAAGCGATGAAGCAGCTGTATGTTGCTGTCGTGCGCCCGAACCTAGAGTTTGGAAACGTCGTGTGGTCACCGAAAGTTGATAATTAAGGACAAAAAAAAATTTAATAGAGAGTGTTCAAAGACGTGCAACAAGGCTAATTCCTGGCTTGAAAGGCAAGTCCTATGAGGGAAGATTAAAGATTATGAAGCTTCCAAGCCTCAGTTATCGACTTCTGCGTGGGGACCTCATTGAAGCATACAAGTATACTCATGGCCTATACAAGGTCCCAGAAGGATTGCTAGAATTTGAAACAAGAACCAACACCAGGGGCCACGGCTATAAACTAAAAAAAACTGCGTTGTAACACATCCATGCGACGACATTTCTTCTCGCTTCGAGTCACCGACATGTGGAACAGCCTACCTGATAGCATCGTTGACGCTCCGAGTATGAACGCGTTCAAGAACAGACTAGACGAAGCTATGCAGGAGCATATGTTCAGTCTTAAAAAATGCCTAGCAAATTGCGGACCAGGCAATAAGTCCAGCAGCTATCTCAATCAATCGTCAGTTATGGAAAGATCGGGTTCCAAAGGCCGGATCCCTTGTGAATCAAGTCACGAAAAATTAAAGAATCGGCAACAGGCCATAGGCCTATTTCTTCAATGACGACACTTCTATTCTATTATTATTACTGTCATTTTTCACTGTAATTAAACAGCTTGGTTCAGAATTCTTTCATTTCCAAACAGTTAAAGTAGTAATGAGATTGTTAGACACAAAGAAACTAAAGAGGCCAGGGTCGTGGCTCTAACTGACATGCTAATGATATCCTTTGTAGTTTGATATTATACAGATACACATCTGTACTGCCGTCAACTGTGGACCGAGGCTTCGAAAACACAGATTGTCATAATGTGTTTAATGCAGGAAATAAATTACAAATCAACATATGTTATTAAGATATTGATAAGGTTATTATGTTATCGACAAGCAATAATTAAAGTAAGCTGAAGCGAGAGGGATTCTGTCGTTTTCAGGTTGCATGTAACTCTCGATTTTCTTAGTAGTTGAGGGAAAAAACATTTAACGGCATTATTTCAGGCTTCTGGCTACACAATTTGTCACTGAAAATTGAAATAGATTTCGAAAAGATGTAGGTTTAATACGGCTGTTTACTCGTAATTTTATAAATGTGTGACTCAATGACAGAATGCAAAATGAATTAAAAATTAAATGAACAACATTAAATCGTGAATAACATTGAATTACATGAACAACATGTTAATTGTTATATCTCTCACAAAAACAGGTTTTGGATGCTCAAAATAATATTCACGATAAAAATCGTTGGAAGGTACACTATAAATATGAATTTAAGTATCTATATTTAAAAGATTTTCTAATCCGCATGTAGAATTAAAAAGGATTCCTGCAGTGCAAACGTCGGCGAATCCTTCATTTGCCGAGGCATGTGTAGCTTCCCGCAGTCTTGCGAGCCAGCCAAGCCAGGTAGTCTGTGACCAACAATAAGTGAATATTTTATTAAAAGCTGCATGCAAGAATGATTATGCAGTAATGCATGGTACATGCATTATTATTTTATATTGTATTTATAATCAATCGTCAGTTATGGAAAGGTCGGGTTCCAAAGGCCGGATGCCTTTTGAATGCACGTCACGAAAAATTCAAGAATCGGCAGCAGGCCATGGGCCTATTTCTTCAGTGCCGACACTTCTATTCTATTCTATATTGTGGGTCAATGATTTCAATTGTAGTTTTTCACTCCAAAAATTACCCGTAATGCGGTAAGAACATCCATTGCATGGCATGTCACCTTTTTAAAGAGAGTATCATTCAGCTACGTATAGCACAACGTAGAAATGAATCAATAAACAGTTATTGGCACTGATATTTGTGTGAGTTAGCTGACAAAAAATAGCAGGACATGAACATAAGAATTTATAAAATAATGATGATTCAAGCGAGTTTATTTTAAGAGCAAGGAAGCGGAGGAATTTCTAAGAAACAAATGATGTTCTACTCCGTCAATACTGGAAGTGTAAAATTATTGCATAATAGTTAAAAATTTCGCATTATTAATCTTATAAAAGCGAAATCAGTATACGTAGTATTTGAAATCTTGCGTACATGCCCGCAGTATCCACACTGTACAAGGCTGTGACACTTGTATTAGGACCATAGACAAACTTAAGGAAAAATCGTATTTTTTTAGAGAGAAAATAGCAAGGGATTTAGTAACTGCGTAAGACGAGTATTATAATAATATAACAATAGATTGCATAAGACGATTATTATAATAATATAACACTGCATTGCGTAAGACAAGTATTACAATAATAAAACAATCATAATGAGTAGGGTCTACAATACATTATAACTGACTAGATACTCTGGTGTAGACGCCCGGTCTGTTGGGCTCGGCGCAGCCATAACCCCACGACACGATCCCCACCACCGCCGCCCGACCACTGGTCTCCTTCACGAGCAGCGGGCCCCCGCTGTCACCCTGCAGCAGGACGACGCCATGTCGAAAAGGTGAAATGGTTTTGTCAATAGAAAATAAATAATTTTTATGTTTCCCTTGCGTTCTCCCAAGTCCGACGCCATGTTGTAAAGGTGAAATGGTTTTTGTCAATAGAAAATAAAGAAATTTTATATTTCCCTTGGAAGTACTTCCAAGCCTGCAGAGCGACGCTATGTTGAAAAGGTGAAATGGTTTGCGACAATAGAAAATAAATAATTTTTATATTTCCCTTGCGTATAGAAAATAAAGAAATTTATATTTCCCTTGGAAGTACTTCTCCAACCCTGCAGAACGACGCTATGTTGAAAAGGTGAATTAGTTCTCGTCAATGAAAAATAAATAATTTTCACATTTCGCTAGCTTTCTCCCAAGCCCGCAGAACGACGCTATGTTGGAAAGGTGCGCTGGTTTTCGTCAGTTGAACATAAGACATTTTACATTTCTACAGCGTCCTCACCGGGCGACAGGAAGCCGCCATATTTCAAGAGTGCAATGGTTCTCGGAAAATGAAGAATTTCAGTTTTCAAATTCACGATGAGGGAGCAAGGCTATTTTCGAATGAAAAGTGAGGCCACGCACGAAAAGTGAGGCTTCCACTTACAATACAAAAGATCTTGAGTCATAAAAAACTTTATGCAGCAGTAAATTACTCAAATAGTTTCCTTCGTGTCCATGATTGAGACAGGAGAGATCAGCGAAGACCATGTGCGATGACATCCACACAAACTGCATAATTAAGAGGGTTGATAGGCTTAACGTAACTTCATACAGGGTCGAACATACGTCAAGCCCCCATCCTCAACCTTTAGCACGCAGACGATATGCAGTTGCACTTTATTAGAGTGAATTGATTATGCTTACTGACTACTAAAACATTATCTATTCGCAAAACAAAACATTCACGTCGATATAAATGCGTGAGTGGAAGTCTTTTAAAGTAATATAAGCATGCAGGAGCATCAGTGGTCGCTACCAAGCGATGTAAATGAACTATATTTCGATTCACGACAGCCTGTTGCAGGGAACCACCACTAAATTTTTCGAAAGAAATTATGTTCTAGCAAACTTCGAGAATTATTACCCCACTTAACTTATGAGCATCGTAAGTTTATACTTAGAGAGAATAAAGTTTTTCGTCCGTAACATTCGTCGATTATCGGGAATGTAATGAATCGTGAACCCCGTGCGTATTGATTGATTCCGTACATCAAAATTTTTTTTTAACTTATGTTCCAACATTGTGATCAATTTCACTTCTATCGTTAATGATCATTGTTCTATGTGTTCTTATTTTTAGTTAGTGGAAAAATGAGTTTTTTACACTTTCTGCCATATGATAATTTTTTTAAATTGCAGTGAAAAAGTAAGTCATATACGCCAGGGCCGAGTGATTGACGTGATTGTTTGCGGGACAGGAACTGGCATCGAGATGGAGGGGAAAACTCTGCATAAATTGTGTCATTAATTGTGATTAATTGGGGGGAAATCTGGGCCATGACAACAATGGTTGGAGCTATCATGTGACGCTGCTACATGCTATATGTGGCTGAGCCAAGCATGTGATGCTGCTACATGCTATGTGTGGTTAAGTCAATCATATGATGCTGCTACATGCTATGTGTGGTTAAGTCAATCATGTGATCCTGCTACATGCTACGTGTGGCTAAATCAATCATGTGATCCTGCTACATGCTACGTGTGGCTGAGCCAATCATGTGATGCTGCTACATGCTATGTGTGGTTAAGTCAATCATGTGATCCTGCTACATGCTACGTGTGGCTGAGCCAATCATGTGATGCTGCTACATGCTATGTGTGGTTAAGTCAATCATGTGATGCTGCTACATGCTATGTGTGGTTAAGTCAATCATATGATGCTGCTACATGCTATGTGTGGTTAAGTCAATCATGTGATGCTGCTACATGCTATGTGTGGTTAAGTAAATCATGTGATGCTGCTACATGCTATGTGTGGTTAAGTCAATCATGTGATGCTGCTACATGCTATGTGTGGTTAAGTCAATCATNCCTGCACTCATGCGTGTTGAGTCCAAAATATTGTCCAAATGGTGACACACTACCTGCACTCATGCGTGTTGAGTCCAAAATGCAGTCTAAATGGTGACACACTACCTGCACTCATGCGTGTTGAGTCCAAAATATTGTCCAAATGGTGACACACTACCTGCACTCATGCGTGTTGAGTCCAAAATGCAGTCTAAATGGTGACACACTACCTGCACTCATGCGTGTTGAGTCCAAAATATTGTCCAAATGGTGACACACTACCTGCACTCATGCGTGTTGAGTCCAAAATATTGTCCAAATGGTGACACACTACCTGCACGTATAGCACTGATGCGCCCACTGATCTGTCCAAACTTGGTCTGGGTGACTCACGTAAAAGCAAAAAGTGGAGCGATATTTCGACGAACTCCCCCCCAATTCTCTGAGTGTTGGGTAAATTGGTCTCCCCACATTCTACTCCTCATTTCTATATGAAAATTATTTTACTACTGATTGATAAACGGATATAAATGTTTAATAACTGAATAAATGTATTCGAGAATGTAGATGAGAATGAAGATTGCACCAAAATTACATACAATAAAAAATTAATAGATCAAAATCGTCATTTTAATCAATATTCCTGAACAAATCCAGTTCATTTCTACATTTTTTGTGACGCAGATTTTACAGCTAAATCATTGTAATAAATTTACAGTTGTAATGAATGTTCGATAATTTTGACGGTACATTCTAAAACGTTAGGGCGATATAAGCAATCTCATGTTTGTTAAAATACAGAGTTAGCTAAAGGTTATTACCTTACATCCAGTGAATGAGATAAGAATTTAAACTTTGAAAAAAAGATCCAGATATGTTTGGAACCGAATCAGTTACATTTTCAATGTGGCTTATGGATGTGAGAAGACATTTAGCGACATTCATACAATCTACCTGGAGCCATATTTTCAAAAAAAGTTAAGAGATCGTAAGTTCATCAGCCAATCATTGACGGCCTTTCAAGCAAAATCAACCAATCATAGTAATACCGAGACTAAACAGGGTAGGTTTCATGGGCAATCACATAACTTTTTATGTCAATTATATGAATATCTGCCGAGGCATCGAGAAGCGAAGTAGAGCCTCGCAATAATTGAGGAAACTTTCTTGCAGATTTAAATTATTAGCTTATAAAATTATTTTACAAATACTATAAAATTATGAGATCTTATTGTAAGCATGCCTGTGTGCCCTAAATATAACATTTTAATCAACAATAATAATACCTACAATAATATAAAATATTAGATCTATACTCTACTATACTATACTCCAGTAACGATGTAGTGTTAAGACATTTTGCGACTTTTATTTTGTAATAGAATCATGATTTACCTTTAACTTGGCAACACCGGTAGGAAGTTAACGTCGCGCACAGAATTTTCTCGTTAGTCATTATTGTTCGGCTGATCCACGCTGCAGGTTAGTTTAAGCTCTAATAGGTTCTTTTGTATTGTCTGAATAATTGTTATATTTTATTATTATTTCTCTTAATTTATCTTCAACGACGATCATTTATTAGATTTACTTTTCAACAGATACGCACGTTGCCAAGGGTATTATTCTTTACACTATTTTTCCATCTTAATACTTATATTCAAAGCCCACCTTTTTGTTAATTTGCCTTGCAGTAAAATCTCAGTTCCAGTCTCTTTCATTTCCATTCTTGTTTTACTGTGTGGGTAATGACTGGCACTTACCCCACAACGAGACTAAAATAATAATAAACATTAAATCTTTACGGGGGTAACCATAACAAAGGTACCCTAGATATAATTTATTAATCTCTCATAACGTTACTAAAATAATATTAGTATAAGATACTTACTAGGGTAACCATGCCAGAGATACCCTAGATATAACAGATTTCTCCAATAACGATACTAAAATAATAATAAACATTAGATCTTTACTAAAGTAACCATAACAAAGGTACCCTAGATATAATTTATTAATCTCTAATAACGTTACGAAAATAATATTAGTATTAGATACTTACTAGGGTAACCATGCCAGAGATACCCTAGATATAACAGATTTCTCCAATAACGATACTAAAATAATAATAAACATTAAATCTTTACGGGGGTAACCATAACAAAGGTACCCTAGATATAATTTATTAATCTCTAATAACGTTACAAAAATAATATTAGTATTAGATACTTACTAGGGTAACCATAACAGAGGTACCTAGATATAACTTATTAATCTCCAATAACGATACTAAAACAATATTAAATATTAGGACATTTACAATGGTAACAATACCTGGTGTGAGACTCCCCCAGCCGGCGACGGTGGCCACTTGTCCCTCGAAGCGCTGGTCCGCAGAAGCAGGCAGGCACGCCGGCCGCACCGCGGCGGCGGTGGTCGAGAAGTCCAGGGGCGGGATGCGGATAAGAGCGATGTCGTTGTCCAGGGTCTTGTCTGGCGGTGCATGGAAAACCGGAGAGGGTATTTAGAGGGGCAATGTGTTTATGATGTTTAGGGGGAGGATTTATTGGTTAAATATGTTTAGTCTTGAAATGCCAAGTGCCCTACGGAACAACTGATGTAATAGAATAGAAGTGTAGGAACTGAAGAAATAGGCCCGATTAATCAAGTTATTACACAGCGCATAGTCGATATCAATTTTGTCCCTTTGAACCACTCCTATTTATGTCAAGATTATTTACCGGACCTTTACACAGCAACAGATGAACCATTGTTCATCCTCTCCCAAATTTCAGTGAAGTTAATACAGTCTAGGAGCGATTTTTAACCTACCGTCCGTTGAAAAGATCTGATCAAAAGGCCAGTCTTTTAATTCTGATAATTAGTCAAGAAAAGTACAATAATTGGCGACAGGCCTATCCAGGCCTGTTCTTCAACGCGGAAGATTCGATATTAAGTACGCATTAACGATGAGACGTATTGTATGACAAGCGACACGTCAGCTAAGGCTGAAAGTTTGAATTAGTCATTATAAATTTACCTGACTTCAAATGTTTGTTGATACGATTTGTTCTTGATAAAGTTATTTCATTGAAACTACGTTTAATAATATGCTAATTTGAAGTCCACTAACTTAAAATTGTCGCATACGGTCACTATATTTTTTCTTACTATTTAGCACGAGTACTTACTGTTGTACGCCTCATGTGTGATGTACTCACTGTTGTACGCCTCATGTGTGATGTACTCACTGTTGTACGCCTCATGTGTGATGTATTCTAGAGGCGTTGCCTTGATCACTTCGTCGCTGCTGACGTCATCAAGACTGTACAGGCCAAGCAGCACGTGGATCGATGTGCGGCGGTATCCTAAGATGCTGTTATTAACAAAAAATGCAAGTTAATTCATGGTTTATTCTATATCTAAAATGAAATTACAAAGAATTACATAAAATATATTTGGTTGGCTTTGAGAGCATATATGTAATCTTAGATAAATAGAAAACGCAGAAAGAATGATAAAAGCTTCAAAAACGAATTGAAATTTGTAATCATACACAAAAAAAGACTGTATGACATTCAAATGAATGCGGATTGCGGAAGCATACAGAATATAAAAATATGATTATAATATATGAAAATATATCATAATAATTGAATATAGACACTAACGCCTGAACACAGTGTGCAGCGGTCATGACGTAGGCGTTGGTGATGAGGGTTGCCCCACAGAAGATCCTGTACTGGCCGCTGGCGACGTAGGACAGCGCCACGGCCCACGGGTGTGCGTGGGGTGCTGTCTCCTCCCCGCCCACGATGCGAGAGTGCTCCGCCTCTCCGCAATCTGCAACAAAACCCGGATTTTTTATGCAGATTAGCTTAGATTTTGCTGGAGATTAGATTAGATTTGGCTGGAGATTACATTAGATTTTGCTGGAGATCAGATTAGATTTTGCTGCAGATTGGATTAGATCTGGTTGCAGATTAGATTAGATTTGGCTGCAGATTAGATTAGATTTTGCTGCAGGTTAGATTAAATTTTGCTGCAGATTAGATTCTTGATGAATGTCTACTCTCAATTTTATTCATTTCATAGGAAAATGTTGGTATCAACAAAACCTAGACAAACAGTTGATATTGGATTACTGACTTTTATATCTTTGATTAAATTATCAGGAAACTGTTGGTTCGGCAAACGCCAGAAGAAAAATAAATTTATGGTCGCTCAACTCAACTTTTAAAATTCTTTCTTCAAGTGAAATTGCTGTTCCCTAGGATACCTTGCTCCAGAAAACTGTTGGTATTCAAGGTTATGGTAAGCGATCATCGGTGAGTGGCATAAATGAAGTGCAAACAATTTCAATACAAAAAAACGGAATACGTAAATTATGTACGGCGGTTCTGACGAAGATTTAGCGGATTATTGTAACTTGTGGCACAAATGGTCTGCTTCTTTCAGTCAGACCAATAAGCAATTTTAAAAAAGCTCGTGTATGAGTCCACTAAATTCAAGTCGCCCATTAGGGAATCGGCAATTAAAATAACGGGCGAAATTGGCAGGCTACTTACCTGTGGGGAAAATAAAATTTTAATTTTTTTTCTATAGGAAAAGCAAAAACACTTACGACACTCTTTGGAAACTGGAAGAACTGGTGGAGGAGGAGTGGCCATGGTAGATTTTGTAGGTTGAGTTGCTCTGTTACTGGTAGACGGATTTGGTGTGGTTGTTGGTGATGTTGTTGTGGTTGTTGTGATGGGTGTGGTGGTTGTTGTGGTTGTTGTGGTGGTGGGTGTTGTGGTTGTTGGGGTGGTGGTGGGTGTTTTTGTGGTGGTAGGTGTTGTGGTTGTGGTGGTGGTGGTAGGTGTTGTGGTTGTTGTGGTGGTGGGTGTTTTTGTGGGTGATGTTGTAGTTGTGGGTGTTGTGGTTGTTGTGGTGGTGGGTGTTGTGGTGGTGGTGGGTGTTGTGGTGGTGGTAGGTGTTGTGGTTGTGGTGGTGGTGGTAGGTGTTGTGGTTGTTGTGGTGGTGGGTGTTTTTGTGGGTGATGTTGTAGTTGTGGGTGTTGTGGTTGTTGTGGTGGTGGGTGTTGTTGTTGTGGTGGGTGTTGCTGTTGTGGTGGGTGTTGTTGTTGTTGGAGTCTCAGAAGTAGTAGTTTTTGGTGCCGTAGTGGTTGGAACAGTTGTAGTTGTAGTTCTACGAGTAGTAAACGCTGAATTTATAGAAAAAGCGTCTTCTAATGCGGCTGCCAGGCTGGTATCTTCAGCGGTGATGCGACAAGTGAAGCCTTTGTTCGGTCCACCAAACTCTGAGAGCAGGCCCACCCTGCCGTGGTTGCCCACGAACGCCCACTGGATCAAAGCGCCGTTTTGATTGGTCGCTCTGAGCAGAAAATGCACGAAAAATACAAATTTCAGAATTACAATAAAATTTGAAGAAATTAAGAAATTTGAAGTTCCAGATTTTCATAACGTCCTTTACGAATTATTTCTGAAGTGTGAAAATTATTTAGTCGAGCACCTTTTTACTAACCCCTTTCGGAGATCGAAAGAAATTATAAGGCTATGGTTATGGAACTTTCGCACCAGATCAGCGGTGACGAAGACGAACAAACTTCTCGCTCTTTACGACAGAAAATCCGCTTAAAACTGATTAATTTCATTGAACAGGTAAAATTTGGGTATTTCGAAGTAACTACTTACTGTGCAATATTTAATGTCACGAAAAAAGGCCTGGAAGTCTTAGATAAACTGTAGACTCTTGGCTACGGCAACGATCACAGAAGAATTGCAAATCATGAAGGTTGTAAGTGCTGCTGTTGAAAGGTTGTAACTGTGCGAAAAAATATTTCAACATATATTCCTGCTAGTAATTTTTAGAAAAATCGTTTCAAGAAAAAACTGCTAGCCGAAAACGCGAATCTTATTTTACTTGCTCTAATGACGGAAAAAGATTAGCAAGATTGTGACGTCAAACTCGAATGCTCAATCGGTAATAAAAACCTTATCATTTTTAAACATCATTATCATAATTAAAAAAAGAATTAACGAGCTGTCGTCGGGATGAGACGCATCTAGTAATCATCAATAGAGCATTTTATTCATGGCTCCGCACAAAATAATTCACGATAAATTTTAGCCTTGATTTATTAAAAGTCAATGAAAAGAAGTCACTCAATAAAATAATAATAATAATTGACTGATAATTTTGATTTGTGCTTCCATTCAACATAATTCAATAAAAATTTTAACCTTAATTTATTAATCAATTTAAAGAAGTCATTCAATAGTATAATGTTAAATATACCTGTATTTAAATCATGATTAAAATGTTTGAATTACGCACCCGAGGAGACGTTCACCATCGTCAGCGTCCCAGACGAGGATGTACTCGCCCGCCCCCAGCGAGACAGACGCGCACGTCAGACGTAGCGCCGTCTCTTCGTCTGACTGTCGTGTTCAATTATGTTGTGAATGATTACGTTAATGATTATGTTCTGGGCTAATAACCTTAATCATGTAGTAATTAGTGAAATCTGGCTCTTACCGATTATTTTCGAACGGCACGAAATATATTTTTTGGACACAAAGTAATTCTTGTTGTAGTCGCCCAAGTTGTGCGTGGACTATTTAAAATAAAAGATAAATTATAGATATATATATTTAGATATTGATATCATTATATATTTATAATTGATATTGGTAAAAACGAAAAAAATATGATGTGATAATCTAAATGTTGTGGTAAAAATGCAAAAACTGAAACCCTGGCTTCTCACCTTGAAGGACCAACCACAGAAGGTGAATGGCGGCAGGAAAAGCGGAAATTCTGGTGTTCTGAAGAAGGCGATGTCATCCACAGCCACGTGGATGGCGGGTTATGTTAATGATTATGTAAGTGATTATGTTAATGATTATGTTAATGATTATGCTAATGATTATGTTAATGATTATGTTAATGATTATGTTAATGATTATGTTAATGATTATGTTAATTATTACGTTAATGATTATGTTAATGTTTATGTTAATGATTATGTTAATGTTTATGTTAATGATTATGTTAATGGTTATGTTAATGATTATGTCCTGGGCTAATAAACTTAATCATGTAGTAATTAATAAAATCTGGCGCTTACCGATTATTTTTCAAAAGCACAAAATATATTTCTTGGAAATAAAGTGATTCTTGTTGTAATCGGCCAAGTTGTGCGTGGGCTCTTTAAATTAAAAAATGATTTATATATAGTTATAAATATCATTATATATATATATAATTCATAACTGTAGAAACGAAAAAAAATGATGTGATAAGGTAAGAAGCAAATATCTACAGCATTACGACTGGCTCGTGAGATAGAGCCTAGAGGTGCTGTTGAGAAGTTATAAGATTTCGCTAAGAGAATGCAAAAAACTGGAATTATATATTCCCAGCAGCAACAACAAATGAACTTTCTTACACTCTGTGTGCCTCCTGCAAATGTTGAAATATTGTATCTAGCAGCTACACTGGGGCACATATACTGTGTAATAACACAAATGTTGACGTTTGCAGAAGGTTAACAATCAAATAATATAAAATTTTTCCGAATGAAGAACACTTGAAATTGTTTACCTTCTCATCAGATAAAAAAGCGGATGAGTGCTAGCATAGCAAGCAGAAACCCTGCATGGATTCTCACCTTAAAGGACCAACCACAGAAGGTGAATGGCGGCAGGAAAAGCGGAAATTCTGGTGTTCTGAAGAAGGCGATGTCATCCACAGCCACGTGGATGGCGGGGAAGCTGAGGCTGCACTGTGGGGCTCGAACGATGACCTTATGATTGGGGAAAACTGCCACCGCGCGCCTCTTCCTCCAGCCTTTCTGGAGCTCTGAACGTTCCTTGTCTCCAATGACACTTCCGTTATAAGGCCCCGAATGTTCCTCGTCCCCAATGCCGTTTCCGTTCTGGGACTCCGAACCTTCCTCATCCCAAATGTCACTTCCATTCTGGGGATCCGAACTTTCCTCGTCCTCAATGCCACTCCCATTCTGGGTTTCCGAACCTTCCTCATCCCAAGTGTCACTTCCACTTTGGGGATCCAAACTTTCCTCGTTCCCAATGCCACTTCCGTTCTGGGGCTCCACTGGCTCATTGTTGTCCTTGTTTAATATTTCTTCGAGGCGCTTGTCAGTTAATTTTCCAGATATTTCTACGATTGATTTGCCATCAGCGTCTTCCAGTTCTTTTTCGAAGCCGTCCTCGTTAGTGTTCCTCGAGAGTCTTGATATTATTTCAGGTGCGGAGTAAATAATAGATTCGGAAGACACAGGGAATTCAGTGGTTGATTTAATGCCCTGTAACTCCTCTGTAGCTTCTAGGCTTTCGACGTCTGAGGCGTAATCTGCTGACTTTGGGAGGGAGTTAGAAATGTTTATCTCTTCAGAATCATTTGTATTGGTGTTTTTTTCATCCGGAAATTTTTCGAAACGACGACGCCTAGAATTCTGAATTACATTAATTTCTGAATCGACTCTTGAATCCTTGGTTATCTTTTGCTCGTTTGATAAACGGCGACTTTCACCCAAATTTTGCTCTTTAGCGCCTGCCCATGCTCTCTTATCGTTTGGCAGCGCTTCCGTGAATTGGCGATATCTAATATTGACAGCAAAGTTTGTAGAATTTAGTTCTGCTTGAACAACTCCCAAATCTGCTGCTGTTTGGCTAGATTTGAAGCCAGTAATACTTCGCTTCACAGTTGCGTTTTCTCTTTCGTCTGGCAGAAGATAATCTTGTTTCTCTTCATAAATTGAGAGAGGTTGTTCATGCGAGGAGTTGTCTTCGTCATTGGAGTTCAGGTCGCGGGCGCTCCTGAATTCGTCTTTCTGCGGTCCACGGGTCCAGTTCTCTTCAGGTGCCATTCGGTCCTTGAAATTCCTATTCAAACCGTCCCAGTCAGCGGGCTTTATAGGTTCAAGTGATACTCCTCGTCGTTTGCTTTGCGTTTCTGCAGTTTCCCTAGTTTTTCTTGTCGCTGCTGTTTCATTTTTCCACTGTTCATCATTTATCATTTGGTCGCTTACATCCTGCAGGGGACGGAAATCTTCGGTAGCGTTTTCGGCGCTATCGTAAGTTAGTGAGCGCTCTTCTTCTGAAGCTGAGTCATTCGCTTCTTCGCTTGAACTTTTGTCGGAGAACTTACTAACAACCCAGCGTTTGAAACGAGTTGGATCCACTTCAACCTCTTCTTGAGACAGTACGTCTTCGTTATTATTAAGGTTTTCTTGTCCTCTAATATTAAGGTCTTCTTCCTCAGGTATTGATTTTAATTTGTTGTCTCCGTCTTGTACGTTGACACTACGTAAACTTCTCTCAATTTCATCAGGCTCAAGTTCTAAAAAGTTTTCCTCATACTCTTCCTCTAAACTTTGCTGCTCTGGCCAATCGTCCCACTCTGAATCATATGTTATCTCGTCGGGAATATCTTTTTCCTCTTCATAGCGTTCGAGTCCGCTGACACTTTGTGCCTGGTCAAAAGTTGTAGCATTCTTTGATTTGTCGTTGGCTTCTTCAACTTCGTAAGACTCACTGCTTTCATTGTGAGAATGACGTTTAGGACGAGCTTTGTCTATGACCGGATCATTCGTAGCCTCGTCAGACTGGTCATCGTCATCTTTAAGTCTTAAAGCTCTGCGTGCCTGTTCCCAAATAGATTCATTTGCCAAGTCTGAGTCGTCTTCCCTTTGTATTCCAAGCTTATTGACCCTGAGCGTTCCTTTCCAATTAGAGCCATTCGTCACTTCGTTTGAGTCATCTTCCCACTGGCCATTGATTGCAAGTCCATCGGTACTGCGCGACTGTTTCCAAATAGAACCATTTGTTATTTCATCAGAGTCATCTTCCCACTGGCCTTCGATGTCAAGTACATCGGCACTGCGCGTCCCTTTCCAAATAGAGCCATTCGTTATTTCATCAGAGTCATCTTTCCATTTGCCTTCGATGCCATATCCATCGGTACTACGCGTCCGTTTCCATATAGAGTCATTCGTTATTTCATCAGAGTCATCTTCCCACTGGCCTTCGATTCCATGTCCATTGGCACTGTGTTCTTGTTGCCAAAAGGACCCATTCGCTAATTCGTTTGACTCATCTTCCCATTGGCCTTCAATTTCAAGTCCACTGGCATTATAAGCCTCTTCCCAAATTGACTCGTTCACTGATTCGTATGAGTCGTCTTCCCACTGGTCTTTAATTCCAAGCAAGTCGGCACTGCGCGTCTGTTTCCAAGTTGAACCATTGCTCTTTTGGTCCAAATTATCTTCAAGTTGACTGCTGATTTCTCGTTTACTGACACTGTGAGCTTCGGACCGGTTCGAGTCAACTTCAGACTCAGAAGATGCTTCTCCAATCTTGATACCGGCGAGATGTTGTCCAGTAACAGCAGTTATATTACGTGCGATTTCATTCAGTTTTTCGGTATTAATATAAAAAAACTGTTCAGTCGCTCCCGACACAGTAGGCGGGAGTGCAGCAATCGGGCTCATTTTGTTGAGATCGTAAGCAGCACTGCCGTTGTCAGATTCGATTCCTGAATCTTCCACTGCCTAGTGCAGAATATAAGGATGAACTATTATCATCACACGTGGCCAAGATCTTACAACGTTACTATTCTATTATATTCTATATTAAAAGCGTTGAGTGAGTGAACGAGTTAAAACTTCAATGGGACTTGAGTAGTGTGATTGGCATTATTAATTCAAAACTACCGTCACATTCACCTTGGTATATTATATTCATGTATACACGTAGAAAAATTTATTCATAGCAAATGTTGGCAAGTTCCATATTGTAGTGCCGTACCTTGATAGAATAGCTGCTGCATGACGTCACCAACAGCAACAGCATGAAGAGCGTCATGTTGAACAGGTGCTCAATTCGTAACCTATAAAATGTTAGAAATATTAATAGAAAAATATTTGAAATATTAACTTTAATTTTGAGTGCCTGTCTGTGCATGTTCACAGCAATCTATAAGTAACTATTTTTTATCACGGATGAGATAAACCAACGATAATCAATGTTAACCGCACTTAGGTTAAAAATGAAAGAGTACGAAGATGGAAGCAAATCGAATGATTTTTGGAATCAATAAAAAATTTTTCACGCGATTTCTTTGATTAAAACTTTTGTTCCACATACCCGCCGGTAAGAGCCCCCAGCTTTTGACTGCAGAAGTTGGTCCGAGACTGCAGCTACCTCGGACTGCGCCGAGCATTTATTCTCAGGTCACTCGACCGTCCAAGTGTCAACACTGTAAACGATTACAGTGTCTCAGAGTTAGAGACACGCGTCTTGTGCTAACCTGTAATGAAGTAGCAGCAACACACGTCAACTACTCAGCAGTTTCTTTCAACAATCATCGGTCATCAACAATCAACCACAATCATCGGTTACGGTCACTGACTTCGGGTATAAATGTCGAGTGTTCATTCTCAAGCGCATTCTCATGTATTATCACGATCGTGTACCGTGCGTACACGATCCAGAACACGATCGTGTACCATGTCGTGATTATGTGATTAGGTCATGCAGGTCATAATTTGACGAATGGATTCTTATATGAAATACATGAGTTTTGATTACGGTATATCAGTCGAATAATTTGATAAGCGAATCAGTCATAGCGCTATGAAAAAGAATTAAACTTTTATTTATTACTTCCAAAAGAATATAGTTCAGAAAAACGATTTAAAAAATTGCTGAAAGATCAAACATTTTTACGAAAAAACTTTTTTCAAAGATGACTAATAATTATAATTAGTAATATACGTTCCATCAAAAAATTGCGATTTTTTCAATCAGTGACTTCTCAGTAATTGCGTAGAATCAATGTGTTCAATCCGTTGTGCTTGATTTTCGCCTATGTGTTAAATCGTCGCCCCGTTCGGTACCGTTTAGAGGGTGTATCAGTGCTACGTGCAGAAACTGTGTCACTATTTGGACAATATGACTCAAATACTTTTTGGACAATGTGACATTTCTCTGAGTGTCAACTGGCGATGTGGATCAGATCGTGGGTGAAATTGAATAATATTCCTCTCAAGTTTATAATGCATCGTAATGCAGAGCAGGTTTGGAGAATACCGTCGGATTAATAGCTTCTCATTTACAGTAAGACTAAGGCCTACTGCTGAAATTCTTAATTTAATTAATTCAAATTCAAAATTAATTTAATTTTTCGTAGGCTTAATATGCTGAAAATGAATATAAAAAGAAAGAATGAAGCTATTTCCAGCTATTTCCATCCACGTCACAAACTTTTGAAAAATTACGTAAATGATTACGTAAATATGTACGTAATAATAAGATAAATAATTTACGTAGTAATATCATCAGGAGACGCGGCAGTTCTTGAATAATGTCTCAAGTCTACGAGCTTATTTTAGCGAATCCAGTAATCCTGATTTAAAGGTGATAATCAAACCAAACAATTGATGAATGTTCAAGTCCTTTACATACAAACAATCATTGTCCAACAAAAAAATAGTCACCGTGAAAATCAATACATACAAGAAAGTGAAAAACAGCGAGGGCTTGTGTAAAAAAATCACTCTCTTGTATTCTTGATTCACATTTGAGTGGAGCCCAAATACATTCAATAAGATGGTATAATAACATTCATAGATTAAAACGTCGCACATTTATGAGGGACCAACCTTGTAAGGTAAAAGATAGAATAAAGCTTTCCTACAGGTGAGATTTGTATGCATACAAGTTACCTGTAATCGTGTAGATTTTCAGTTATTTAGCGTTGTTTCAAATAACGGAAATTTATCAGAGAGAAGTGGCATCAAATAACAACCTTAAAAAACTCGTCGGGTTAACAAAACCTGTCGCTTATCTACTGTTAAATTAAGATCAAAAACTTTACACATTTTAAAATCAAATAGTACGAGATAAAGAAACGTGAGAGGACCTACTGGTTATTGCGGATCTACTGGGTATTGTCTAACAAAAACTTAAAACTGTCGGCATTTATTGGATGAAGAAAATATTCATATTTGAAGGGCCAACTATTTTCCAAGGACGGATTGGTTTCACAATTTCATCAAATGTCGTGACTTGATGTTTTCTGCTGCAATAGCTGAACGGATGAAAGTTACGGATGAAGGCTCTTGTTTTGTTTGAAGAATTCTTTAATATTGGATAATTTTTCATCCGGAATTTCATATTATTTCTCGTTGAATCATTTTTCGGATGAAACGCCTTTTCTTAACCGTCTTGAATTTCTCCAGCTGCTTCTCCCCCAGAAGAATCTGCAGGGTTCAATAGATTTGATGTTTATTGACAATTAAAAACATTACTCGTAGTTTTAAATTTATATCGTATTTTTGAACAGAATGTTCGCAATCAGTTGTTATCTTTGAAAACTGAGATTTCGTTCGAGAACCTGTCAGCTACACTCTCGACAGCCACGTTGGCTATGGTATTTACCAACACTGAATTAAAAATATTCTAATTGATTGGTTCTTCTCTCCTGAAATTACTTGGAAATTAAATAGCACGAGTTTTGGAGAAGACCGAAACAGGCGATGTAACTGTGTTCAGCAAGTCAATTTTCATGTGCATTTATTCCGAAATTCGTCTAAGTAAACAATTGTAGAAAAGTCAAAAGTAAAGAATTGTACAAAGTCAAAAGTACAAAAAAATTAAAAAATTGTAGAAACTAATATACTCTCTGGCACTGGATTTGGCACTCTGGCATCGAACTTTCTGATACAGCGCGTTTGAGTAAATTGAAATTAGTGGAATTATCGAGTTCAAAAGACTCGTCCAGACCTTTTGTTGAGACTCCATCTTCTGCACGCTCCGTGCCATTCAACGATCGACTTTGGGGAAGGTGTTTAGATCCCATACTCAAGCCCCGGGCGTCGACGTTCTGGGTGGACTGACCAGAAATATTGGGTTTGAAGGCAATAACTTTGTTTGGGGAAGCTTGTTTATTGCCCAACTGGAACAAAGAACTCAACCCCAGTTTTCGAATACCTTCTTGCTGCTCGCACGCTGGATCAAGCCTGCAGGTCCCCATGTGATCCATGCGGTAGCATTTTGCACACCCTTCCGGAACCTTAACTGGAAAATACAAATTTATAGCGAAATTTTTAATTTCCTTTTGTATTTGTCCCAGAATTGCAACTCTATACTAACATATTAATCCTGATTGGCGACGTCATTTTCAACATAAATTCACACTGTTCGATACTTAGTTAAGCCACTTACCTTTCACGAGGTCGAAGCAAGAAACGATCAACTTTCTCTTGATCCTGACACCAGAATACATTTTCGCACATCTGTCCTAACCCAAACATAAGTTGCTTGTGATAAACACCAGCTGGACATGCACCAAGAGCCTCTTCTTCTAAAAAAAACCTAAGTACCATTGATCGTGAACATTTCATGCATTTGTACTCACTGATGGAGCGCCCTTGAGGGTTTTCCATGAGGTGATCATTTCTTGGCAGAGCTGGAGCGTAATCAACCCAGTATGGATTGTATCCATAACTGCCTCGGTCCTCCGGCCAATAGCCCCAGCGATCAGTTTTAATATTATTCAGAATACCATTGGCTGACGACACGTCTTGGTTCAGTTGCTGTCTAATGCCATCTCGAACCATAGGTGCCACAACGCTCTTGAAGAACTGGGAACGAAAGAAGTCCATGAAGGAGTTACCGTTCTCGCTAAGCTTGACATCTCGATCGGTACTATTGCCATCATAATTCTTTTTATTGGCATCGGTATCAGCAGTGGTACCATCGTAATCGGCAGAGTTGCGATCATAATCGGCAGAGGTGCGATCATAATCAGCAGAGTTGCCATCATAATCGGCAGAGTTGCCATCATAATCGGCAGAGTTGCCATCGTAATCAGCATTTTTGCCACGGCGATAAGCTATGTTGACCCCGCTATAGGCAGAGTTGACACCACGATATGCAGTGTTGCCGTCGCGATATGCAGTGTTGCCGTCACGATATGCAGAATTGACGTCACGATTTGCAGTGTTGCCGTCACGATATGCAGTGTTGCCGTCACGATATGCAGTGTTGCCGTCACGATATGGAGTGTTACCGTCACGATATGCTGAGTTGACACCACGATATACAGTGTTGCCGTCACGATATGGAGTGTTGCCGTCACGATTTGCAGAGTTGCCGTCACGATAAGCAGTGTTGCCGTCACGATATGCAGAGATGACACCACGATATACAGTGTTGCCGTCACGATATGCAGAATTGCCGTCACGATAGGCAGAGTTGCCGTCACGATATGCAGTGTTGCCATCACTACGGGCAGTGTTACCATCACTATAAGCAGTATTGCCGTTACGATAAGCAGTGTTGCCATAACGATAAGCAGTTATGCCATCACGATAAGCAGTGTTGTAATTACGATAGGCAGTGTTGCTACCATGATAAGCAGTGTTGCCATCACGGTAAGCAGTGTTGCCATCACGATAAGCAGGGTTGCCAACACGGTACGCAATGTTTCCATTACGATACGGAGTGTTGACGCCTCGATAATCAGGGTTGCCATAATGATAGTTAGTCGTGCCGTAACGAAAAGCAGTGTTGCCATACCGATAAGCAGCGTTGCCATAACTATAAGCAGCGTTTCCATCACGATTGGCAGTGTTGCCATAAGGAAGAACTTGATCTCTGGCTTCAAGAACAGGGAGGCTGGTTGACGCGTCCATCAGCAACGCTCCAACCACGAGGGTGATCGCGTTGCGGACTGTAACAAATAAAACAAAGCAACCAACATTTACTTCATTAATTTCCAATTATAAATATAGAAACGCACAAATAAAACAAAGCAACAAATATTTACTTCATTAATTTCCAATTATAAATATAGAATCACTCGTGGTTTATCGATTCAATCCTTTTACAGGTTCATAGTTTTGCACACACACAGTACAATTGTGCCACAGTACAATTGTGCCGAAGTACAATTCAATTGATTGAGCATCTAAGAAATTTAATATTCTTCACATATCTACGGCAGGAATCAACACTTAATATCACACGTTAAGCTAAAAATGCAAATAAAACTCTTGTAGCAGAAAACGTACGTAAATTTGTCATTTTTTCTTGTCAGCTTCAAAATTTGTTATTGAAACTACAGCTGAATTATCTTCATAATTCCTCCGATAGCGAAAATTTCCCGAAAATATTAGCTACAAACAATTCATTTTTAATTCTCAATTAAAACAATGACTAGTTCGGGCAATTCAACAATAAAAATCGTTTCAAAAGAGCTGAAATAGAAGCACAAAAAGGTCAATCCAGTGAACCGATAGCGAAAATTTCGCGAAAATATTAGCTCAAATAATTCATTCTTAATTTTCAGTTAAAACAATGACTTGTTCAGGAAATTCAACAATGAAAATCGCTTCAGAGTATCTGGAATGGGAGCACAAAAATGTCAATCCAATGCATCACCAGTAAAGAGGATCGCATTTGATTGAAATTTGGAAGTGAAATGCATATATAAAAATATTCAAATTCCCAGGGATTGATAAAGTCGCTGATAATTCTCCAACCAATGGAAGCCTAATGAGAGCGGCGGAGCCTGTTGTTCCATTGGTTGCCCAAGTGACACCCGCATGACGTCACGTCTACGTGGAGAAGGATGCTGGCGTCAAAACATTGGGGACGATGCAGCGCAACTAGTTAGTTCGATATCATGAAGGACTTCAGTCGTCAAAACACTGGGGACGATGCAGCACAACTTGTTAGTTCGATCTTATGAAGGACCTGAGTCGTCAAAACACTGGGTATGCAGCACAACTAGTTAGTTCTATCTTATGAAGGACCTGAGTCGTCAAAACACTGGGGACGATGCAGCACAACTACTTAGTTCGATTTTACGAAGGACCTGAGTCGTTAAAACACTGGGGACGATGAAGCACAACTGGCTAGTTCGATCTTATGAAGGATCTCAGTCGTCAAAACACGGGACGATGCAGCATAACTACTTAGTTTTATCTTCTGAAGGATCCAGATTTCAAGCTGTTGACATTTACTTTTGGCTAGGGTTAATTGCCTGAAGGAAAACTACAAGTTATGGAATATGTGGCACACATTTCTTTCGAAATCGTTAGGTACTATCTAAGAGGATCTTGTATTTAATTACAATCAACAGAGAAGTCGAAATGAGGCTATAGATCGCTACACTGATAGAAACGATATTCAGTATCGTTAAATAACTGGACATGTACAAATGGAAATGCCTAACTTACAACTATTCTGTAAAAGATTCGGAACAAGTTTTCAGGGTATACGAGCCGGTCTGAATTAAAAGATATAGCGTATCTTAGCGGGATTATAGAATACGTTGAAATAGTCGGATACTAATTGACTTATGTAAAACTTCCGAGAAAGGAATCTAGTAAACACATTTGAAACGCGACCGTCTCACAACACTAGCACTGGTTCACTGGTAAGGTCTTCTTTCACAAATCAGACGGTTCACTTAAACTGTATGTTGAAATAATTGTATTCATATTTTCGTTAGGACTAGGAGTCCAGAATAATATTTGTTTACAGCCGGTGCATGAATGTGAATGAATGTATTTCCAGCAGATGCATGAATGTGAATGAATGTATTTCCAGCAGATGCATGAATATGGATAAATGTATTTCGAGCCGATGCATTAACGTGTCTCGAACTTTGGATTGTCCACGCCTGCTTCACGCACTGTAACTCGACTGACTGCGTGGCATGCGCCGGAGGATCTAAAAGAATTTAAATATAATTACGCTTAATTTCAAGTCAATACAATAGATACTGAGATGAAAATGATCCTGTAAATAATTTTTAAAGGGCTTTTGTAAAAATGGGGATCGCTGTCTCGAATTTTTATTAAGATCACAGATAACGGATCGATATATTGTCATACTCGGTTCAGTCATAATTTATAGTGATTGAATAAACAGATTAAATTTTGTAAATTAGAGCCGGTGGGTGTGGCTGAATTTTAAAAGCTTTACAAATTTAAAATGTTCATTATAGTTGCAACTATTGTAAACTGAAGTTTACATGAATTACATGACGTTTAATGGAATTCAGGACAAATGCACATCGAATAAATTCCTGGCAGTTCACTAATATTCCGGACACAATTGATAAGGAGAAATACTTTTCATTCCTTGGTCACTGAATTTGGGGATTGGCCGAGAGACCGGCCGCGAGTCCGGTCGTAAATTTGTCCGAGACCAAACTTTTTACGTGTAACAAAGTCGGTAATAAAAAGTAAATGTGTGATATATATGGAATATTCCAAAAACGTTTGATTATTCAGGAAAATGTGTCATGAACAGCCCTGTTTTGTAGAAGAAGTAAACATATGTCGGCTGGAATGAAGTCTAAATTATTTTTATACATTTATTTCAGTCATTTGTAAATAATTTCGTTCCATGGACATCGTTCCATCGTGAGATCTAGTGTCTAAATGTTAAATTTGAGGCGTAGATGTACGACTAGTACACCAATTTATGCGAATTTCAGCACTCGGTAATTTCTGTAAGGTTACACACAGGAATGAGTTCAGACTAAAGACAAATTGGAAGCAAGCGAATGGAGATATGCACACGCGGTGCTGTGGGGTCATGTAGCACCGCAGATACCTGCAACACAACAGGGCTGCTGCGATCTTTACAGCTTGTTGTTGGGCTTAAACAAGCAACTCGGGTACTGCTGTAATTTTGCGTCGTTTTTGCACCTGGACACTCCGCCGATTTGACCAGAACTATCACAGGTAGCTGGGAGCGAACCCATAGGGCATTGCTCCAATCCTAATACTCTGAACTGTAGGCCCTTACCCCATCTTGCCCAGTAGGCCCAACATGCAGGGCCCAAGTATTTTAGCAATAATTTATAAACCTGTATATCTATTTTTGTCTCTTAATTCAAATGAACTGATTAAAAACAACGGGCTGCGTACAAAATTATCAAATATTCATAGAAATATCTAAATGATGACTACTAATTTTGACTCATGAGAATTTCGGATAGTTTTGTAACATTTAGATTTGATGTAATCACGTACATCACGGCGTACGTAGTCATGTACATCACGGCGTACGTAATCATGTACATCACGGCGTACGTAATCATGTACATCACAGCGTACGTAATAATGTACATCACGGCGTACGTAATCACGTACATCACGGCGTACGTAATCACGTACATCACGGCGTACGTAATCCCTTATAATGTCTCAATTTCATGAAACTTGACGAGCATTTTGGTCTTGTTGACAATCTTAATGCGATGACGATCTTAGAATATTTATTCTATTAAACCGACATCAAAACAATTATTAATGTTAAAGATGGCACTCATAGTGGACAGATAACGGATTGAAAATAGTTATATCGAATCTTTCACTGCATATTACTTACATAGAGCGATAAATTCACTAATGCCGCAATAAGGTTGGAAAGGAGTGAGATATATAGACTAAAAAAGTATTGAATGGTATAGCGTTTTTTGAACAAATTCTGTTGGAGAATAAATTGCAGCTCTCACTAGCACTGCTGGTATTTGAGCTTTAGCACTGCTATTATTTTAGCCACTATAACTGTTGTTATTTGAGCCACTAGAACTGTTGTTATTTGAGCCACTAGCAATGCTGTTATTTGGGCCACTAACACTGCTGTTATTTGAGCCTCTAGCACTGCTGTTATTTGGGCCACTAACACTGCTGTAATACGATCCACTAGCGCTGCTGTTATTTGAGCCACTAGCACTGCTGTTATTTGAACCACTAGCACTGCTGTTATTTGAACCACTAGCACTGCTGTTATTTGGCCACTAGCACTGCTGTTATTTGAGCCACTAGCACTGCTGTTATTTGAACCACTAGCACTGCTGTTATTTGAACCACTAGCACTGCTGTTATTTGGCCACTAGCACTGCTGTTATTTGAGCCACTAGCACTGCTGTTATTTGAACCACTAGCACTGCTGTTATTTGAACCACTAGCACTGCTGTTATTTGGCCACTAGCACTGCTGTTATTTGAGCCACTAGCACTGCTGATATTTGAGCCACTAGCACTGCTGTTATTTGAACCACTAGCACTGCTGTTATTTGAATCACTGACGCTGCTGTTGTTTGAATCACTGATGCTGCTGTTATTTGAACCACTGACACTGCTGCTATTTGAATCACTGACGCTGCTGTTGTTTGAACCACTGATGCTGCTGTTATTTGAACCACTGATGCTGCTGTTATTTGAACCACTGATGCTCAGAGGTCGACAGGAGACGTTTCGTGACATCGTCTGTGAGAAGCACTGAGGAGGCTGCGGCTCTGCTTAGCATAAAGTTTGAGCATGGAAAAAAATTTTGATTTTGCAATTAAATTTTCGGAAAAATTGTGGCCACACATCACTAAAACCTTTCAACGAATTGCTATTAACCAATTTAACGGAGCTGTTCCTTGAACCAAAAATCACATACGGAAAAACCAACATACTTGGGTACTCATATTGTATAAATTTCATCGAAGACTTGCTCCTGAGAGTACATGAATGATCTTTTGCCAACAATAAACCATTCTTCTACTTTTTCGACGTGCCTATACATGACACGACATCCTGTAATGGTGATGAAAGCTTTCACGTTCGGTAGTAGAGTGTCTGTGAGTATTATTGAAGTCAGTTCTTATAATAAGGAACAAAATATTAGTTAAATGAACCCAAAAAAGTTACACAAATAAACTGATGCAAATAAAAAACATATATAAAACCGGCAAACATCAATCAGGTCCACTTTGTCGGACCTGAAAAAAATATTGCACCCAAGGCTTCTTCGAGATATATACAAAAATATTCGAATCTGCGTAACATTTTAGATATAATTAATTCACTTAGCATTTAAAAACTGGAGGTAACAGCATTTTTATATTTGCAGCGTGGATTCTTTAATATCTTTTATGAAACGGGTTGCTCTTTAATTCATTACAATTTCAACATGCGGAAACCTCTATGCCGGATTATTCCAAAAATCCGTTTTAAGCCATAAGGCGTTTTGCTGTAAAGTGTCTTTTTTTAATATTAAATTTAATTGCAAAAATTATCGTTAACAAACGAATGTCGGAATATTATTCAAAACCAAAACTTATAAGCTTCTACATATTCGATAGTCGAAATGGTCAAAAAGAGGGTGAGGTATGTTCATTATTCATCTCCATAAACTCTAAATTGAGAATTTGGTGTGTGTATAATTTATTTTTATAATTAGTCCTTTGTCATCAGTCATAACTCATTAATTGTAAATTCTTTTATTTGGGAATGATCAACTAAGTTCAATGCCTTCTGTAAGACTGTAACAATCTGACCTTGGGACGTTGAGTCTTCTGAGTTGCCTTCTGGCCCTTGATCTTGAAGTTGAGGGTTTAAGCTAGGAAAAGTCAATAGGAATTTTCAACTTATTTCAAGGGAAATGATTGATTAAATTAACATTCTAGAACTTTACATTGAAGTTATTCTTAAAGCTAAGTTTTATTTTACTCTACAGTCTAAGGCACAAATGAATAATTTATTCTATCATTTTTTGTGTACGGTAGGTACCTAACAATTCTGCTATTCCTGTAAGGCTGTACGGCTGTACCTAAGTGGAAAATTGGGCAGAAGCCACCTGCAAATTGGATTGAACAAAAATGCTCCTGAATCTGGACATGTTTAAAATGAAAAAAAAGAGGAACAGCTTATTTTCAGCCATATCTAGTTATTGAAGTTTATCTGTGAATTTAACCTTTTTAACCTGCAGTTTTCCTAACCAATATTACCTGTGAGAGGCTGTGACAGTGAAACTATTCTTTCTACCTGCAAACTCCTACCCAATATTCCAAATAGCTTTCTGTAGATTGTATAATTGATTTGTACCTTTGTTCATAGTGACAAACCAGAGATTTTTTAGAATCAGTTCATTTTTAACTTCCTCATTTACCCAAGATTTAAACCAATTTCTTATGAATTATAAGGCTGGTATCCAGGATACTTTACTGGTCTACTTATGTGACTCAAAAATGAACTTGAGGGAGAGTCTATAAAAACTCTCTGCTTTGCCACTATGCCTTTGTTTTATTCTTTATAGCTGCTTTATAAGATATAGGTATAATAAAAAATTAAATTAGGCCTTTCAAAAATCTTTTGGTTAGATATTAAACATATTTGAACCTGTATTTTGACTATTTTCAATTAATGTGTGGCAATTTTTTTCAGGAACATGAGAAAATGCTATTCTACAGCCCTCCTGAAGAGCGGCTCAACTCAAAAGTCCGTAATATTGGCCTGTCAGAAGCCTTTACAAGATTTACCAGGTGAGAAGTCAAATAATGAAAAAATAATTATGAGATCCATGATAAATAGAAACATATTATCCAGAATCAGATTTTGTTTTGTCTTATTTTTATAAAGGTCTGTTTTTCTTTTCATTTTATTTTACTGATAAGCATTAAGTAACTATAAAAAAATGATCAAATTTTTCAAAGAAACCAACTTTATAAAAGATTCCTTTTATTTAAGCTATGTATGAGATGTTGCAACAGTTTCTGGAGCTCTGAAGTTCCCTCTAGGGAAATAATTTATCTATAATTGCAAACAAACCCACAAAATCCAGATTCATTTTGAATTACCAAGATATTGAATAAAGATTTCATTAAACATAAATACATATACTTTTTGACTCTTCAAATCTGGCTTGATAAGGTGCAATTTTTGGTGGGAAATTTTTCCATGCCTATTGCCTAAAATATAATTTTATCTCCAACTTCCTATAATTATTTTTGTTATTTCTGCAGCATGTTCAATAAGTCTTCTGACTGTGAGACAGTGCATTCTCAGAAGCATTTAACTGCCATGCTGCAGCCTGAACCCTTCATCTGGATGGTTCTGGTGAGAACCATGGCAGATGGATAGGATTTGTAATTATTAATGTATTTGTCACTTATCATAAATGATATCAAAACACTAGTTAAGCAAGACTGACAAATCCAAAACTCCTTTTCTTTGAAAGTTATGAATGTAATTCTTCTAACTAGGTCAAAAAAGAGGCAATAATCTGGTTTATGCATATTTCCTGATGACTGAACTTAAGTTGTTTGTCTTTTCATTTATATCGAAATTATTTCATATACATAGAGTTGGAATAATTAGGCATTATAAATTTGTAAACTCACAAATCTATTATGTATACATTATAAACAAATTATTTCTGTGATAAATAATAATTTTTTATGTTTTACAGAAAGTGTCTCTGGCTCACTCATGCCATAAAGTGGCACCATCACCTATGAAGAAGTGCCGGGGGTCAAAAAGTTCAACACAGTCTAGCCCTAAGCCAAGTCATAGGTCGAAGCCTTTAGTCATTGGTGAAACTCTCAGCTCAGAAAGAGATGCAGCCACTGGCTCTCTGAGCATCAACAATCAGGATAGCCGAGACCTACGTCATATCCAATCAAGTAGTTCTTCTTTACTCACCACAACCAATGGCCAAGAGTATGCCAGTGGGAGTCCTAGAAATAACAGTGCTGATTTAGCTAGTGTTGCCAGTTCTGTCAGTAATGCCAGTTCTGAAGATGCTTTAGTCAACCACAAAACTTCTAATAATATTGTAGTAGATGCTGAGTCACAAGAGGGTTTTATACATTCTCAAGATAATGTAGGTATTGAATCTTCTACTTCTTCTTCTATTATCAATGATAGTAAAGTTTTTAGTAACGAAAATGACGTTGAAGACAGAATAATAGCTAATAAGCAAGATTGTGACAGTCAAGACTCTTCAAAAGATAATCTGTGTAGTAACCTACCTTCACAACCTGGAAACTGTGCACCACCAAGCATATCTTCTACTTGTTCTAATCCTGACTGTGCAAGCACTGCTCACTACATCAGTTCCAGCTTACAGCCATCTGTTCTCAAGTCACATTTACAGGCTGCCTACTCAGCCTTTACGTTTCTGCATCATAGTTTTAATAAAGTTCTAGAGGAACAGGGACTAGTGGAGCTCAGGAACGTTTTGAAAGATTTTTATGATAAGGTGAGTTTCAGGTTTTTCTTCTGTTGATGTTCTACCATGTGATTCTTAAAATTTGTTATTAATTCTATCATCAAGATTCTGTTTTATAGTATAAACTTGTTTGCATTCAAACAGGTATTAATTTTTTCAGTTTATGTAATTGCTCCTCACTGATCTCCAAATTTCTCAACCAGTTTCAATCAACACTTTGTAAATTATAATATTGTGAATTGGTTTTATTTGGATACTTTCAGTAGCAATATCATTATACTAAAAATTTCTTTAATCAGCTCCTATCAACAATGTGAAAGTTGATTCATAATTCAATTAGCATGCTAGACAAAAATACCTTATTTTTACTTTATGAACGAGGTTAATCTGCACAATTGTTTCTAGTTTCCATTTCCTACTTCCCATACGTAATGGACGTAACATACCTTTGGTTCTCAATTGTTCATTATTTTCGTTGCCTGAGTAAAATGGATATTGTGGACTGTTTCATGAGCCAAGTTTGTTGTCCGACTTGAACCGCCAGCAATTATGTCCACTAACCAACTAACTAACCTACACATGTTTTTTGTTGTCAGTATTTAAGCGAGGTGGAGATGTCACATGGAGACATGAGCAGCGTGTGGCGGGGGCTCTCTTACCTGCCTCTGAGACAGGGTGTGCTGCTCAGAGTTCGCTGCTGCCTTGCCTCGCTCTGCTCAGCCATTCCTGCTGTGCGCGCCGCCGCCTTCCTCTACTCGGGCAGCGTTGCTTGGTAATATCAACAATTACTGAGGAAATAATATTCGGGAATAAATATTGCAATTATTCATGAAGTTGAAAGCAACATCAGAAGAATGTTGGACAATCGTTAACAACCGTGGAAATTATGTCTTGGAACAAATATTTAGATGAATCTTTTAAACTGAACGTTCTTCATCAGTGGCAGTTGTTAGTTGCTCATGATTTTCATTGTTTTTTGTAAATCAAGTCAATGTAATAGGAATCAAGATTTCTGTTACTTCCTCTTTCAATTAATTATTATCTTTTTTATCACCGAAGTTTGTAGCATTAATTTATATACATATTTGCCCAAAGTAAATTTAGGGACGGAAATAAACTTTTTATTGCTTCTTATTTTGACGTTTCTTTATTGATTATTCAGTAATGTGTCAATTTTTATTATTAGATCAATGTTGAAAGTTTGGTTGAACCAGACGCCACGACAATTGCTTTTTAGAATAATTGTAATATTAATAATAAAATAAATTATTTTAATAATAATTGTAATAATATTAATAATTATAACGCTAGTGATAATGAAAATAATAATGACAATAATTATAATACTAATCATGATAAAATGTGTTAACAGAAGTTGCTATAATCAGGTGTGATTTTGACCTGGAGTCGCTGCGCCGGTTGCTGCACTACCTCCACTACACCGGCATCCTGGAGCAGGTCAAGCTGTCAGCCAGCTCTCAGGAACCTGGCTACTCTAACAGGTGCGCTCTGCTCTACAACCTGTTTACTCTGCTCTGTTTTTTTAAGCTGTATTGGTCAAATATATAAGTATTCAATCACGTCCATCAGATTATATAAAATTAGTTTCTTGTTTTCACAATGACTTTACCTTTTGCTTTTGCCTTTGATCTATGAAATGAATTTTGCCATTAGGTTCATCGGTGGAGTGGGCCACAGTGTGCGGGCGTACGTGGGTGAGGACGGACGTGCTGGTGTTGCTGGCAGGAGACGCGAGTGTCGGCTGCTGCTCTACTCCTGCGCCGGGGCTATAGTGCCCATTGTCTTCGCTGGTTAGCATTATTTCTCATTCACAATTCATTGTACAAAATTTAGTATATACCTATATTTCATTTTTAGCATACCAGGGTCTTCTTGCTGTAGCATAAACTGTTTATGATGGCGAACTTTTTGTGTTTTTCTATTGTTGACATTATGAACGATTATTTTTATTGAATACCGTACTTACCTTTTTTTATTAAGTAATTTGATGTGTTGATAATAAAAAATATGAGATAATTGAGGACATTTTCAGTTCTGATTGTTTTGCTTATTGGCCCAGTCTCAAATAAATGAGGAATTCGGATTTCCTCAGAGCCACTTAGCATTAAGATATACTGAATCAAACTCAGTAGACGTCATTAAAAATCAGCTTTTTGTAATAAAATGTACCTATGGCATTTATCTTACGTTTTTTTTCCAGCCGAAGACTGGAACAAAAGTTTTAGCTGTAGTTGAAATTTACTTTTGAGGAACAAAATTTCACGATACTTATGTTTCGCTTTTTACCCAGCGGAAGAACGTCTGCTGCCGAGCCTCTACGAGAAGCTTGCCCGCACTTTGGACTCGCGCGTCACGCAACTCGTGGCCGAGATCGCGTCATCGCGGCCACCAAACCCGTCAGGTGGTAGCGACCACCTGAGCTACGTCTACCACAACGCCATGAACCTCGCAGTGAAGAGCACCTTGAGGGTGGAGCGGCCTCCTGACCACCCTATGACTGGGAGAGTTGAACGGCATTGTAGGTTAGAACTTAGACGAATGAGCACAGTTGCCTGGAAATTATTCGTATATTGTCCTGGCCTATGAGCGGTGAGCATTTGATCCTGATAGTGAATTACAAGCCTAACGTTTAGATTGAATTGTAGTAGCTCTGGCCGGTGACAAATGGTTTAATTAGTATGATAATTCTGATAGAATTTAAAATGAAAGCAAACGCCAAGCAAGTTCATCATGTCTTCAATTTATAACTACTTGTATTATAAGTTCGCAACAAGTAACCAACTTATAACTAGGTACTTAGATTATCAGCAAGTTCGCAAGGAACAAGTTGTTATGGAGAACATCTCCATCCTCAGTTAAAAAAAGTGTAGAGAATACCTGTGATGGGTCTCTTAAACGTTATAATTGAAGATATGATGAAGTTTACTTTGCTTTTAAGTTTGTGTTGAACTTGTGATTCAAGCAGACTAATGCCATACTAAGTACTGATAATAAATGATAATTATTTGTAGTGATTAAGTTGCATTATTAGTTTCTAAATGGCAATAATACATAACGGTACACTATGAATTGTAGTACCGGTATTACTAAATAACAATAAAGGTGACGTGTAGTTTAATACTTGAAAATTATAAACGCTCATCTGGGATAAATAGCTGTAATGTCGCTGCCAGCTGCAACATAATTTTCATATTTGTTCTCAATTAAATGAATGTAAGACATCCAAGCACAGTATTCTGTGAAGCTAAACCCGAGGTTAAATAGATTAATGATGTCAGGCGAAGAGAAGACAGGAGCTTATAACCAGCAAAAGTTGCCTTACATGATGGAGTCCTTCTGTTCCCATCTTTTGGAAGATGGTGGAATTTGTGGAAAGTTTTGAAGGGAAAACATGGAGACGGAAATTAAAGAAACTAAATCATTTATACAATTGTTTGAGGAAATGAACATCCCATTCAAGTAGAAATTCAATGTTGAAAAATTACCGCTCGTGGTTAGTTTATTGATATTTCAATAACATAAAATTGTTATTGTCAAATAGGTACTGAATGTGTTCTGAGAGCATTGGATACGAACGAGAGAAAATTATAATGGAACACTTGACGTTAAAAAATTTGTTATTGGAAATTTTATTCATTTATTATTAAATTGTGTTCTAAATTTAGTACCTACTATAAGTTCCAGGCTGAAATATCAATTTTATGCCAGAAGAAAAATGAATGTGAATGTACAATTTTGTCCTTTGAGCTTGAAGCTAATGTGCCTGGTGAGAGACTAAATTATCTCATACATTTCAGGCGGGGACGGCGTGATGGAGACGGGGGCGTTCGGGCTGGGGGGCTGGTGGAATTTGTGGAAAGTTTTGAAGGGAAAACATGGAGACGGAAAGTAAAGAAACTAAATCATTTATGCAATTGTTTGAGGAAATGAACATCTATTCAAGTAGAAATTCAATGCTGAAAAATTACCGTTCGTGTTAGTTTATTGATATATCAATAACATAAAGTTATTATTGTCTAAATACTGAATTGGATACGAAAGAGAGAAAACTTTATAATGGAACAGTTGAAGCTGTAAAATTTGTTATTGGAAAGTTAATTTATTTATTTATTATTGAATTGTGTTTTAAATTTAGTGCTATAAATTACAGGCTAAAATATCAATTTTATGCCTGAAGAAAAATGTCTACGAATGTAAATTTTTGTCCCGTGAGCTTGAAGCTAATGCGCCTGGCGAGAGACTAAATTATCACATAAATTTTCAGGCGGGGGCGGCGTGATGGAGACGGGGGCGTTCGGGCTGGGGGGCAGCGTGGTGCTGGTGTCAGCTCCTGCCGGGGCTGCTGCCATCCCTTGGAAGGTTATGCTTACCATCGTCGACATGCAGGCCGACATGATCAAGTACGAGGTCCACATTGCGTGAATATTTTGTTTTTAGTCTCTCTAGATTTATTATTAACAGACTGATTTAGTATAAATTTTCTTTGATAGTTGCGCACAACCTGGTCAAGAATTTCTAGTGGTCCTGCAAAATAAAATGTCTGAATCAGCTCATTATTTTTTTTTATCATGGTGGACCTTAGCACGTAGGTATTAGGTAAGCAAAGCATGCGTGCTATAGAATTAGGATTCTGTGTGGTTATTCAGTGGCTTTGTCAGTTAATATCTCCCATTGCGCTCTAAGCATCTACAATGTAGTTAAATATTCATACTCCAGCTTATTTTGCGTGTTTACCTTATTTTACCCACTTGCCTTAATTTACTGGTTTACCTTAATTTACCTTTTCAATTGAGCATTTTTGCTATTTGCTTTTTGCCTGACTTGGATGCCGCGGTGCGCAGGTACGGACACCAGGAGAGCGTCCTGAAGACCGTCGACGATCACTGGGTCGTCGGGCGCACCGGCAACGGACGTCAACTCTTCGTCACGCTCGTCAACACAAACTCCAACCTCGTCGAGATCACGGGTAGGTGTTACGTCGTACCTTACAGCGTACCTTACATTGAACTTTGAACCATACATTTTAAAGTATTTTTCGTCCTACTTAACATCGTAAAATTTATTTTCCGGTGTTTAAATGCATCAGTGCAGGCTGTTTTACTAGTATGAGGTATCAAACTGAGGTTTGTTATTGTCGTCACCATCGTCCAGTAGTGTAAGGGTAAGGGTTTCCTCCTATTTTACGTCTTAGTTTTGTCGCATGAATCCTTTATGCATCACCTGCTGCTTCTATGGAAGACTGTGGTTAAATTTATGTGCTACGCTCTTCCTCGGTAACTCCAACCATGTTCATATTATATTAAAGGTTTTCAATCAACACTTATATTAAGTTAGATGTTACGAGTTCCAAGAAGGGCGTTTATTTACAACGAAGTAATGTTTCAGATAATATCTGAGCCGTTTTTTATATAATTTCAACATTGGCAAATTGTAATTTGCGTGTGCAGATGAGGTGCAGAGAGTTACGCAGCTTCACTTCGGTGACGTCTTCATGCTGGAGTGATCAGGACTGGTGTCAACTGCCCACGCAAGAGAACTTCATACACCGGAAAAAGATTGATGCGTGATGTTCATCAATATTTATACATCTGAATATTGATAGTGGTGCTTGCTACCGCAGTATTGTGCACGTGTCTTGGTTGTCGACATCATCGTAGGTACTTAAAAAGGTTCTAAATTATACAAGTTTTTCTAAATTTGTTGTCTCTATCAAATTGTCACAGTCCACTGGATTTATGTTGCGTATGCAATATTCAGTGGCAAATAATGACCTATTCTAAACATAGCATTTACCAATTGAGATTCAGTCGAGCTTAAAGAGAATGATTGTGCCGTGTTATTTTCTACATAACATTCACCAATAATTACCATGCTTCTCAACTTCGTGCAATCGAGCAATGAAATGTTACGTTTGTTTGGAGTCCTTGTGCAAATTTTTCAAATTATGACCAGTTGGAGAAATTGGGTATCTTGGATAACAGCTGTCATTTGTTCTTCATGTACCGAGAAACTTGGTGTGTTGAAGCGTTACTTGAAACTTCATTTGACAATAATAAAGAGAATTAACCTTAGTTATTTTCCCATGTTGTTTTTAATTATGAAAGTTAGCTAATTAATATGTATTTTGAATTGAGTGCTTAGAATGGTCCTTATTCTCGTGTTGCAAAAAACGTTGAGCCTGAAAAAAAAGATGAATATGCTTTAAACAATTATCTCTCGTCTGAAATTTCCTGAGCTGTGCAATATAGTTGTTGCCACGTGACAGATTATTTCCTGTATTAGCTTCGCGTTCATGTAGCATTTAATCGAGTTCATCCTTTGCTTATTAGCAGTTCATGACTTGCGAGTGAGCTGGGGATGTTAACATGGTGATCAATTATTCATTGGGCTTGGTTTAAATCCATGAGACATTACTCCCTTGTCTTTGACTACCGAAATATTCGTGTGCTGAATTATGAAGTATTGTGCTTAAATAGTTCGAATAATACTATCTAAATTATGAAGTATTGTGTTTAAATACCGTAGTTCAAATACCAATACTATCTAAATTCAAAAGTATTGTTCTTAAATAATTCAAATAATACTATCTAAATTATAAACTATTTTTCTTAAATAGTTCGAATTATAATATCTACCAAAGTTAACTTGAGCGAGGCCAAGTGTTATGTGCTATTTACCTGTAGAATATATCTTAGCTCATGTACATGCTTGTTATTGACTGTGATTTTATGATTGGAATGCGCCATGTAAAATTTACCTAATAGTTCGGAAACATTCCTCTTTGTTTCTTATTTATTAATCGATCTTTAACCCGAATGATTTTATGTCAAACTTTTATGTAATGAAGATGGAATATGAGATTCCCTCTTCGTTAACTGCTGCGAATGTATTTGTGGTGCCTGTGTATTTTTCTCCAGCCTTGTATGCAGTAATGAATTAATGACATATTCATGATTTTGTATTAATTCTACCTGAATCACGCTTAGTATTTTATTTTTTTGCTCTTGAATTCAAGAGCTCCTTTTGGGCGGCGTTGACCTTGAAAATGCCATGGAAGATAAGTCAACCAAAAATTCGGACGAAACTTACAATTTCTATATTGTAGCAACGAACGATATATTGTAGCAACGAACACTCACAATGGTGGCGGCCCTAGTACTAAACGCCCTGTTTCTCCTGTACGATCGCAACAGACGATCCAGACAAGCAACACTTAGCTTGGGTTAGATCAGGTCATGTTAGGTCACACATGTACTTATGTTTGCAAAATGCGCTTGATGCGATGATGAAATGTTTTGGTGATGAAATGCGTCAGTGATGGAATGTTTTCTGCGATGAGGTGCCAGGGAAACCCTGCCAATAGATAGGGAAATCAAACATTGAAGAACTTGGCTTGAAGTTTACTCGTATGCTTTAGTTCTATTAAAACTATAAATATTGAATAAATATCTAGCTTTCTTCACCGTGTGAAATATCTGCGCTGAAATTGCGCTACCATTCTTGCGGAAATTCAGACTGCTGTCGCTGCAGGTCTTATTTATTAATAGATATTATTTCTATACAATCTTTAGAGAATGTTTAAGCTGTAAAAATGGAGAAATTGGCAAATATTGTATTTTTTGTCACCTTTTCTCTGTACCTCATCCAATTTTTTTCGACGGATCTATCAGTTTATTAAAAAATACTGTTTAACTTTTCGATGACGATGTGTATTGTGACATAACAAAGTTATTTTCGCTTCACAAATATTACGAGAAAAGTAGCCCAGGTTATGTGAATTTTCCTCGAAGTAGTTTACTGCCAGGAGCAAGTGATACTAATGTTCTGACTCATGCTTAGCATACCCAAAAATATCCCAAGAACGGCTTGGAGATAAATAGAATACATGTCTGAATAGGGGGTTATAATATGCGATTGTAAAATTTCTCCTAATGCATTTAGTATATAATTAAAATACTGATGATATACCTAATGCTACGTGATGAAAACATGGTCGCATAATGCCCTAGAATTAAATGGTTTTCACTGTATTTTACTGATAGGCAAAATATATGAGTATAATGTAAGTTATTCGTCATTAAATGGCTTAGTAGTGTTCTCTGAATCTGTTTCGTTTTTCTTAGGTTGTTCTTTCACTTGATCTCTAATGTACTCGTATAACAGAACATTTTTAAGCTCGTCGGTAATGGCATCTTGCGGACCAAACTCCTCAACTGGTGGATGAATTGTTCGTTCAGGAGAGAGTGCGATGCTTGATTTTTTTGTGTTCTTATGCGGGTATTTCGAGTATTTATTTGAGTTGTAATAAGTAAACCAAGGTCTGGTGCGCTGCCGTAGATGAGATGTTCGAGTTTTTCCTTCCATTGGCAAGCCGAAGTTTTCAACCGTAACCGCGGGAAGGCCTCTTCTCAATCCGTACTTATATTTAGGAGATCCTTCTGTTAAAGAAGGATCTTGGTTTCTGTCCCGTCTTTCGTCTGAAGGAAGAACGGTTCCGCGTCGTAACTGGGAGTCATCTCCAAAATTTATCAAAGATTTTACTGGAAAATCTTGTGAATTTTGGATTGGATCGGTAATTATCGCGTCATTTTGAGAGTTCAAATTTGAAAATAATCCTGAAGGAAGCTTTGAATTCTTACGTTGATGATTCAGCATCTCGTTATCGACGCCATTCAAGAGTTCGACTCTTTTCTGATTGTTGAGAGTTGTTTTAAATATCACTCGAGGAGGATGACGTTTTTCATGGAACTTCATGTTCGATTTATGTATATTCTGAGTATTGACTTCTCCAGAAGATCGGAACAAGAAGCGAGATTTTGGCTGCAGAGGCCTTGGCTTCAAACCGGTATTGGAAACACGAATTTTTTTAGGGAAAACACGTCCCAGTGGAAGTTCAATTCGGTGCTGATGAGCGTTTTTTCTTTTCGACGAAGTCTCCTTCAATTCCGACTCTGAGTCTCCATTGCGCTGCAACTTGGACTCTGCTCCAACTTTGTGCCTGAGGTTTGAAGGCTTGTAAAAACTCAGACTTTGTCGCCTGGCAGGTCGTGAGAGCGGATTGTTGTTTTGGTTAACGTCTCCTATGAGAAGCTTGTGACGAAGATGTTGTGCGGGACCGTCGGTGTGGTGAACGTAGTGAACTTCTTGCTGATGGCGCTGGAAGGACTCTGCTGGAGCTGGTGATGACGACTGCGAAACTATTGCAAGTTCGCCAAATGCCTCTCGATGGCCCTGAAAAATCACATTTTTCTTACGAAATGAAAGGAAACTCATTTTTGCAAACATGATATTCGTAGATATCTACTCTCAAGGAGGATAAATATGCGCCATATTGAAATGCTCAATATGTTTGGCAACTATCTTGACTGTTACTCACTTTACTCACACTATCTTGACTACTACTCAAGAAAAGTCTGTTACCCACTTTATTCTTTGATGCTCCGGATGCTACGAGAGCCTCCGCTCGACCGACGGCTGTATCTTGCAAGTCTAATCCTGGTGAATAATAGAATAATTCCATTAATAATTGTACGGTGCTCTTTCGCTCACTTTTTTATAAGCAGAGTCAATATTAATCACGATATTATTCACATTCAAAGGGCGATTTTTCATTTAATTTTGTCGAGTCTTTAAATTTATTGCCTTATTTCAAACTGATATATAAAGCATAATTCTTTAATAAATGATCCATAATTAAACATGGGTGCAGGTACAACGAATGATTTTTTGCAAATTTAACGGGTTCAAGGCATTTTTTTACTTTGACATTTATCTTCCCGCTTCGCATTATGAAATTTGAGAAACAATTGTAATTTAAAAATATTTCACATATTCGTCTGATATTTTTTACTTTGACATATTTTTATGCTCTGGAGAATAAAAAGTTATATAGATGCTCATTATTCAACTGGAAAGTATTCAACTTCTTGATTTTTAATGAATGAAGGCATAAAATAACGTAAGGCATCGTTACCAGCGATGACGCTGTGCGTTGCAAGGTTTTTTTCTCCGTCATCTTTCTGGGGACTGTCGTAACGTTCGTATAACTGTGACTGATGTGAGTGATGGTGTGACTGCTGTGGCTGCTGCTGATGCGACTGCTGTGGTTCTTGCTGATGTGACTGCTGTGGCTGCTGCTGATGCGACTGCTGTGGTTCTTGCTGTTGATGTGACTGCTGTGGCTGCTGCTGGTGTGACTGCTGAGGCTGCTGCTGATGTGACTGCTGTGGTTCTTGCTGATGTGACTGCTGTGGCTGCTGCTGGTGTGACTGCTGTGGCTCCTGCTGATGTGACTGCTGTGGCTGCTGCTGGTGTGACTGCTGTGGCTGCTGCTGATGTGGCTGATGGTGGTGTGACTGCTGTGGCTGCTGCTGATGTGACTGCTGTGGCTGCTGCTGGTGTGACTGCTGAGGCTGCTGCTGATGTGACTGCTGTGGGCGTAGCTGTGTTTGCTGTGGCTGTTGTTGTTGCTGTAACTCTTGCTGCTGCTGCTCTCTTGCCACGCCAGAAATTACTCCATGTCCAGGACGCGACTCCATGGCTTCCCTGAGCCAACCTTGACCGCCATCGTCTTCACGGGATGCGCGTTGGTAGGGCTCTAAAAAGCAATTATTAAAATATTTTAATACCAATTAATAAAAGTAATAAAATAATCTTAATACCAATCAATAAAAGTAATAAAATAATCTTAATACCAATTAATAAAATAACGTTGTTAATTTCTAACTTAATCTGATTTCGTATTAGAGACTTTGAGCGACTCTATTATGGTATAAAAACTGATATCGACAGAAATTACATGAAAGTATAGATAGTAATAGAATAAAACAAAATTGCAAAGCACTTAAGTAAAAACTTGAATAATATTCAAGGAATTGATACATTTCAAAAGAGAAACATGATCGAGGATTGTCAAAGATGTTCATCGGAGATTCTTTGATTGTAATTCCCTAAAGTCGTGCCATGAAATGATTAATTATTTTCATTATTTTTTTTCGGAAACTTGATCACCTGCGTAGCGATACTCACCCCGATCATGGCGCTCCACTTCATTCTCGTGCATTTTATGATTGTGTATTAAGTCCTCGATACGATGATCATCAACAGCTGGAGGGTTTGATTTATTCTTTACTTGATTGGTTGAAATGTACGGCCCGTATGTTTCCTTTCTGTACAGTTCGTAACTGTCTTGGTCCTGTGAGTGTCCGTCCATGCGCTCATCAAAACCCGGATCCGGATTACCATTTGTACGTTGAATCTGTCCTTGTGAGTGTTCAAAGTTCTGGGATTGTGTATCGTCGCCTTGTTGATGAGGGTGCGACTGATATTCAAACTCTGGTTCGACATTACCAGGTTCACGATGTTCAGAATCTTGATTTGAGTTTTGCTCATGAGTGTTGATGTGAGAACTTGTCCCGAAGGATGACGATCCTTGCTTATGAACCTCCTGATCTTCGCTGATCCTTGAGTGATGAGGGTTTTTGTCCTGGTGCTCAGTAGGAGCACTAGCGAGCCCTGCGTTGTCATCGAACATGATGAGGTCGTAGCTGCTGTCGTCTGACCGAGGCGCAGAAGGGGTGGGTGCTGAATTTTCGGCGAGCGAAAATTCCAAACTGAAAGTAAGTGTGAAATCAGTTGGTTATTTATGTATTATTACCCATGTACAATTTATGGGCAAGTAATAAATGAATAAAAAAATAATTACTCTCACAAACGTGAAATTTAAAAAAAATGAACCTGTATGGTTCGAATTATAGCCTTGACCAGGAATAAATGATCGAGGTACTTTAAGGAAGATTATATTTTGTCGACGAATTATTTATAACTTTACGTGAAAAAAAATCGATTAATGAGTGCAGGCAGAGTTGCAAAATGGCCTAAAAAGCGGCCAAGTCCGCGAATAAAAAAAGCCTATAATTCAATATATACTAGGATATTTGTAGGTTCAGGTGTAAAATCTCTATCTCATTTTTTGCAGTTTTTAAAATTTAATTAGGAAGTACCACTATCATAAATTTTAGCCGGCCAACGTTATTAAAAAAAATTAAATCGCGGAATTTGTCCGGAGAAAAATACCGTCTAGTAATCTTGGTACAGGATATGGAATATGAATAAAATGGGGAAAAGTGAGATGGTGAGATCTTGCTGGTCAAACATTGCCAAGCCAAGGGGGGCCAAATCATTTCTCAGGAGCGATAGTCATTACTTCGATAAAGTAGAGGAGTGTTTTTCAAAACAACTGTAGCAATGGCACCAACCGGGAGGAGTAGAGCTGTAGCAAAGTCAAGAGAAGGGTTAATATGTATGTCTGCCCTTTATACAAATTTTAGTAATGTCACCCACCGGGAATAGAACTCTAGCAGTATCACCCTATGGTAGTTGGAAGGGTACGCGGCTGCTCTTTACAACAACTCTAGAAATGTCACCTACAAAGAGCAGAGTTATTTGACGGTAGTAAATAGGAGAAGTAGGTGGCTGCACCTCACTACAACTGTAGTAATGCCAGCCACCGCAAGGAGTAGAACAGGCATCTCCCAACAGTAGCAATGTCCCTCTACGGTAAGAGAAGCAAGCGTGGATGACTGTTCTTTAAAGCAACTGTGACACTGTCACCCACCGGGAGAAGTAGGTGAGTGCCTGCTTGACGACGTCTTCGGGGGCTTGGGTGATGGAACATTCAGGGTAGAGCATCGCGCAGTTGCGGCCCAGCCACCCGCTCCTGACTGCGGCCAGGCTCTCCCCCAGCGGGTGTGGCATGCGGTCCTCCAGCGCCCAGCTCGTCAACACGCTGACAAACGATCGTGTTATTGTAATGTGTATGTAATAACAATAATATTTTAACTATCGTCAAAAAAACTAATTTCATGCAATAATCATATATAACTTCAAAATTTGAAATAAAATGAATTTATTACTTAAATCCAGATAAAAATTAACTTATTTTTAATATTCTGTAACAATACCATCACCCCTGAGCAAGAATATTATTATTAATTATTATTTTTGCGTATTAGTTTTGGGACCTCCTACCTGAGCAACGGAGTGAGCGCCGCCTGCAGAGGTCCAACTTTCTTCCATGAGAAATTGATGGTACAGAGCAGCGACCTGAGGCACGTCGGCTCCCTGTGCGCCCTAGCGTACATTGTAGTGGCATCCAGAGCTACAGGCGCCAACCTAGTGACCAGTGAGAACCAACGGTGAGCCCAATGTTCCCCCACCTCTCCCCCAGCACCCGCCAGACTTGGTGCGTTGTAAACCACACCGGTTCGCATCATGATACGTGAGTCATCGGGTTCGGCCGCAGTTGACGCGGGTTGAGGGTACGACCGTTTCGTTCTTGCAGGCAGTTTGCTGAGAGTGGCTTCTCCGAGTTCGGCGATACCCTTTAGTAATCGATTACTTTCGAGATTCCTCGCGGATCCATCGGGAGAAGCTACAGCATTCATCAAAGCGTTGGCCATCATTTGTGATGAAATCAAAGCCCTAGATCTCCCAAGCATTGTTAGAGTACGGAGAACTCCATCCCACTGAACACCATTAAGCTCTGAAGCACTGAGAGCTAACTGCATCCACACTGGTTTTCCGAGATCAGAGGAACTCGAAAAATGCCGACCTTCTTCCTCGAACTCTGTCACAGAAACATTTTTTTCGTCTGCCAAAATATTTTCTAAATCACCAGAAACCGCCGAGTATATTTCTGTGAACGGCTTATAAATATCTTTTGGCAGGTTCACATTGCTACTAGCCATCGGTGAAGAAGCTACTTTCAACATGAAATCTTTTGCATTGTGTAAGATCTGCAAACCGTTCTGGGGAGTTAAATTTATTGATCTTCCTCCGAACCCCTCAGATGAGATTCCCGGAGGTAAGGCTCGTGCTACGAGTTTGGCTGCTCCCGAGGAGCTGTGGACTCTTAGCACGAGCTCATCAAGAACTTTCTGCACCTGCCAATCTAAAACTCGAGGTGGTAGCGAAGGGGTGTTGGTTACATGGCGATGAGCAGCATACACTACGACTGCAAGTAGGTTGAAAATGGCAACGAGAAGAACGATCCCAGCATCTTCGCTGTTACTGGGGCTGATGAGACCCATACGATTCACCCGTCCCGGGGTATCAACTTCACTTCCGTCTGAGTAATCGTCTTTCCAAAACGGACTTATGTCATCCTCAATGTCCCCCCAGTGGAACGACGGAGGTGTCGCCGGGTTATTGGAATTGATGTTATCGGTAATTTTTTTCTGCTTTCGTAACGGAAATCGGTGCATTTGTTTTGAATCCAAGGTGCTGGCCGTCTGTGCTGTGGTAGACCTTGTAGTTTGAAAGGAGGAAAATTGAGTTGTCGACTGGGTTGTTGGTGGAGTTGCAGTTGTGGTTGTAGTTGAGGTGGTAGTATCTCTGGTAAGTTTAGGTTGGGTAACTTCAGAACTTGACTTCGGCGATTTCCGAATAGCCGAAAGCGCAGCTTTTTGCAGCGACGGCGACAACTTTTGCAAAAACTGAAGGGTGGCGGCGCTGAAATGAGGGATGAGGTCTGTCTTGGATGTGTCGTATGACCGACCTTCGAAAATATTGTTGTGAAGCATCATATTCATCTCAGCAGAGATCGGTAGGGGCGGCTGCGCGGCCACGATACTGGCAAAGTCTGTCATAGCCATCGTCTATTTGGCTTCGCAGCGAAAAACTTACAAGTTTAAGCTTGTTTCATCTCAGTTTATTACAATCTACATTATTTTGATTATTCATCTTAGAATCTGAAACAATAATTGTCAGAAAGTATTGGTTGAAAAAGTTAATTAATTTCTTTCGCTTTAAACTTTCATGATACGTGAGTCATCGGGTTCGGCCGCAGTTGACGCGGGTTGAGGGTACGACCGTTTTGTTCTTGCGGGCAGTTTGCTGAGAGTGGCTTCTCCGAGTTCGGCGATACCCTTTAGTAATGGATTACTTTCGAGATTCCTCGCGGATCCATCGGGAGAAGCTACAGCATTCATCAAAGCGTTGGCCATCATTTGTGATGAAATCAAAGCCCTGGATCTCCCAAGCATTGTTAGAGTACGGAGAACTCCATCCCACTGAACACCATTAAGCTCTGAAGCACTGAGAGCTAACTGCATCCACACTGGTTTTCCGAGATCAGAGGAACTCGAAAAATGCCGACCTTCTTCCTCGAACTCTGTCACAGAAACATTTTTTTCGTCTGCCAAAATATTTTCTAAATCACCAGAAACCGCCGAGTATATTTCTGTGAACGGCTTATAAATATCTTTTGGCAGGTTCACATTGCTACTAGCCATCGGTGAAGAAGCTACTTTCAACATGAAATCTTTTGCATTGTGTAAGATCTGCAAACCGTTCTGGGGAGTTAAATTTATTGATCTTCCTCCGAACCCCTCAGATGAGATTCCCGGAGGTAAGGCTCGTGCTACGAGTTTGGCTGCTCCCGAGGAGCTGTGGACTCTTAGCACGAGCTCATCAAGAACTTTCTGCACCTGCCAATCTAAAACTCGAGGTGGTAGCGAAGGGGTGTTGGTTACATGGCGATGAGCAGCATACACTACGACTGCAAGTAGGTTGAAAATGGCAACGAGAAGAACGATCCCAGCATCTTCGCTGTTACTGGGGCTGATGAGACCCATACGATTCACCCGTCCCGGGGTATCAACTTCACTTCCGTCTGAGTAATCGTCTTTCCAAAACGGACTTATGTCATCCTCAATGTCCCCCCAGTGGAACGACGGAGGTGTCGCCGGGTTATTGGAATTGATGTTATCGGTAATTTTTTTCTGCTTTCGTAACGGAAATCGGTGCATTTGTTTTGAATCCAAGGTGCTGGCCGTCTGTGCTGTGGTAGACCTTGTAGTTTGAAAGGAGGAAAATTGAGTTGTCGACTGGGTTGTTGGTGGAGTTGCAGTTGTGGTTGTAGTTGAGGTGGTAGTATCTCTGGTAAGTTTAGGTTGGGTAACTTCAGAACTTGACTTCGGCGATTTCCGAATAGCCGAAAGCGCAGCTTTTTGCAGCGACGGCGACAACTTTTGCAAAAACTGAAGGGTGGCGGCGCTGAAATGAGGGATGAGGTCTGTCTTGGATGTGTCGTATGACCGACCTTCGAAAATATTGTTGTGAAGCATCATATTCATCTCAGCAGAGATCGGTAGGGGCGGCTGCGCGGCCACGATACTGGCAAAGTCTGTCATAGCCATCGTCTATTTGGCTTCGCAGCGAAAAACTTACAAGTTTAAGCTTGTTTCATCTCAGTTTATTACAGTCTACATTATTTTGATTATTCATCTTAGAATCTGAAACAATAATTGTCAGAAAGTATTGGTTGAAAAAGTTAATTAATTTCTTTCGCTTTAAACTAAACGATGTCCTGCGGCAACCTACAGGTAAAACAAACCCATGTTTTTCAACACTTGTAAGCAAGAGAGTTTTGCGTTGACAGTCGGAGATGTAACAAAGATTTTAATCTGAATTGGTGATGAATTACACAAAGATATCTGATATTCACACCGAAAATTATAGAGCGTATAACTAACATGTTTATGCAACGCGGTATGCAGTAGAAATTGGCACTAAATTTGCCGTATAAAGACACTAGATGTAGTATGAAGCCCTGCACTATGGATATAAATTCTCCACACTTAATTCTGACTAAATTCTTAAATATAGACTAAAGTAATCCTAATCTTAATTTGAGTAATCCTAATTTCGAAGCTGTGTAGCAACAACGCATTGTGTCGGATAACAACTTCATGTCGTGCGCGTGCGGTTATTATTATGAATGTAGGTGAACTCCACGACACAGATCGTAACAACGATCGACTTGGCTTGTAGTCAAGACACTTGTTTCTCACGCACGACAATGCGAGACACTGCCATCCCTGTAGCTTACTATGGTGATAACGTCATGTCTATTGCATCTTTTGATCTTCTATCTTCTGGATTTAGGAATCATTCATTGTAGGACAAGATTGTCGTTCATATGCAAACATGTCCCGCAACGAGTATCTGTGTCTTTTTCATAACATCAATACGAGTATCAATTCGCTATTCATAGTTTTCTGTATTGATACTCCTACTATCGTCCTCTTAAGAATTAGCATAATCACTTACAATTTTCTCAGCGTGCAATAAACAATAACAAAGTTTAATGTACTGACAGGAAACATCTCGCTAGTGACGTTCTTAAACAGCTTACGAAAATTTCAATCAGCATTTGTGTGATGATTGTCCAGCATATTTACCGCTTACGATCGATATTCATGCTACAAAGAGGCAGTTCTTCGGCACAAAGCACAGTCTTCACGAATAAATTTTAAAATGTAAACATTACTGCTCAGTCTTGTAAGTCGTTTGCCTGCGGACTTGAATAACGCATGCTACTTAATTAACACTATCGAGCGCTTCGCGAACTTTATTCGTCTAGAAACTTTCAGAGTAAACATAAACATGATGCAGTGAAGTGAAAATTTCAAGAGTTAATTTGGAAATATTTAAGCCTGAACCCATTACTATTTATTACTTGTGAATTATTTAATATTATACATATTTTGATCCCAGTTTTCTGGAATAAATATCGTAATTAATTTAAACACGCGGTATTAGTTGGGATTTCCGTTTAAATAGGATCGGGATTATAACATCAACATTTACACGCTTCCATTGTAAACAATAAATTGCCTCATGTAATAATACTGGGCCATAATATTGCCGTTTCAACGCAGTAAATTCAGCAAAAAGAATTCACGCACTCGCTGAACTTGCAGGAACACCGCGCGGCACGCTCGCCTCGTCCTGCTCGATGTGAGTCGCGCGACTGAATGCGAGAGATCGCAAGTCCGGCCCTCGCGATCGGGACCCAGGCTACTGACGACGCGACTGCCTCGCTTGACGTTCGCACTGCCATACGGCGGGGCTGCTCGACCCGAACTCTGCGGCAGTCACTACGAGAAACTCTGCAGTATAATTCGTCTTGATAAAATTTAACAGATGAAAACTCTGCAATACATTTATAACGAGAAACTCAGTAGATTTATACGATATTTATATATTTATGCAGAACATTTATACGAGAAACTCTGCAGTACTCAATATAACAGATGATTGAGAAGTAGTATGGTGATTTTAGTACTTTTATGTTTATGGTTTAAAATTTTAAAGCATTTTTTATCGACACGAGTATTCATAAATGCTTTAAATGCTAAACGGTGATGCTGCTTGAATCAAACACTACCACAAATACGACACGACAGAATCAGTGTTTATTATTATTTAAGTCTTATTTTAGTATCATTTTTCTAGGGAAGTGTAGCAAATGAATAACAAATAGTTGAATAGTGCGGAAACGTTTGTATGTATAATATAATTGCTTAATGTATCTGCGCTACGTTTTTGTTAATCAAGAATTTAAAAGCAAAGAAAACGCCGGGCAAATTCACTATATCTTCACTGACGTTCTCGGTGGAGATATGATGAATTCACTTTTTGGTGAACATGAGAATTTTGGTGAAAATTATATTCTGGCAGATATAATGACAACAGTAATTTTGCAAAGATTATCAAATGGTTTAGTAATGTTAACACTTTTGTGCTTATGATATACTTCATGAAGTATTATTCATCGATTTTTATGCATAAATATTTTCGATTCTGAAATTTAAATCATCTATTATTATTATGACAGATGTTTTATAATACTGTTCTGCCATTTCAATAATTATAAATACATCATTCCAGAATTTACTTATAATACTTTTTTCGGTGACATTTCCTCGTGCAATTTGAGATTGATATAACTCGTGAATATCACCACATCAGATTTTCTGATATAATCTAACTACTCTAAATATTTCCAAATCACGTTAAAAAGATTTTTTTCCTTCGTTGACGAGAAGTTAAGAGACCGAAAGTCAAGCGAGAAACTCAGTTCTCGGTAAATAGTGGAAACTGAAAGTCAAGAGAGATCTTATTAAGTGCACATTTAATTAACTAGAAATACTTTTAACGAAAATAGAGCTTGGAAAGTAATTATTGGATAAAGCGAGTTAAGAAATTCGAAATGAAAGAAGCGCTATGTACATCTTTAATGCGTAATGTGGATAAATACAACAAGAACGAAGAGAAATTTTTTCAGAAATATTAATGGTATCAAGCACATCCTTAATCACAAACCTTAAATATTTAATATAACAGGAACGATGTAAAGGCTGTATAATTCAACATCTCTGGTGCATTTGCGTACAAGGTGTAATGCGTCATAGGTGCAATGTCATAACTCAAGCTCAAAACAATTGCTTCAAATACTTATTGAAATTCACGTAAACTTAGAGACCTTACTTAATCATAAAACTTAGAGACCTTAATACTTTTATGGTTAAACAACTCTACTACAATCATTATCAATCATTTGTAAGCCTAATGGCAGGAATAATCTGATTCTTGCCATGAAACATTATCTGATGCTAATGTAAGTCGCTGAAAACAACGGTACGACTTGAAGGGTATTAACGACTGACGATGACAAGGCATAATTCGACCATCGTTTCCCTCCATAATTACTTGCACCAGATTCTCTGTGGTCTTTATTGCAAAAATCCATACATCGGTTGTAGAACATTCACATAGATTTGTTTCAGGAAATATTTACTTACAAATTAATGGACGATGTTGAAAATTCGTTCAGTACCTGGACATTAGACTTTAATTCATAATTCGTTGTTTCTGATCACTTTATATTGTACATCATTATTCC